ATACAGATTGGGATATAGACGAAGTAAGATACAAACCTCTATGACGAGTCGTTTGGGTGTATTCTCTCCAACTTGAATGTCTAAAAACACTTTAGGCTTGTGATTATTCCTGAAAAACAACCATGAACTCCACTTGCAACTCCCAAAGATGGTAACTTACAGTTGTCCACAATTCGCGATGACGAATTCAGCAGTTGGTTTTTTCTTTAGATCTCGGAAAATGTGGAAAGTTACATGAATGAAGGATCAGTACAGTGATGATTTTTGATACAACGTCTTGCCCTATCTAGATTATAAACCATATGATCAGATTCGAAATGAAATTTTGATAAGAGACACCCAAGAAACATTATATTTCATACAGTTTCAAGGGAGTTACAACATTTTCTAAGAAAAAACGACCGGGTCATTTTTTTTTTCACGTAAAAATTAATTTCACGTGGCGCGCTTCCGCAAGGGTATATAAGCCGTGAAGCGTCTGAATCACGTCAGTTGATGGTGCGAGCCGGTGAGCTCCACTCCTCTCTTTCTGGAGGTCCTCCAGAAAGGGGGGAAAAGCTCATCAGTTCTCAAGCCATAGGTGAGGCCTGGATCAGTCCGGGTCTTATCCGAAGAGCACCGAAAGGTTGCATTCCAACCCCCACCGTCCAGAACGGTTGCATTCACAACACAAAATAGAAAACTATAATTCTAAATCTATCCAGCAGGTTATCTTACATCAGATTGTACGAAGTTATGTTTTAAGAGATACTGTCAAGTAGGTGAGTGAAACAGATAAGAGCAATAATGGAAAACGAAAAATTTTTTTATTACTTCATGTTTTTCAATAATAGAAAGAATTGAATGACAACGTTCATAACCAAAATGTGTAATTTCTTCATAAGAAGCTTTCAGTGAAAAGATCCATGGGACTTTCTTAATGACGCCAAGTGTCAACAGAATCATCGAGAAAAGATGGGTTTCTGGGTAAATTCGGATAGTAGACCGTTGGCTGTCCTTTCTCCTGAAGGAAAAAGTTGAAATGCTGCAAAGAAAGCCAAAGCTTTACCTCAAAATAAGAGTTTTCCAAGTTTCTTTTCATACAGCACACGCATAACAAAAGCAGTAACACTAACTGTAAAACGTTTACATAAGCTGTTCATGGCAGATCAACTTACAATTGAAAGAAACACAACAAGAACCAGAAGGAAAACTGTTCCGCTACTCATTCCTTCCTCGACAACCTGAACATCCTATGTATGAGAGGTTGATATGAAGATAACTCACATATCCATTATCAATCATGAAGGCATCGTATTCTTTTTTACAATAATAATCATCGAGCCCATTTAGCAAACAGTAATCAACATCTCTGAAATCTGAAGTCGATCAAACGTATCGTTGTTGACAAACCTAATGACTATCACGGCTTGGAAGGACGGCAAGGTACGGAAACGTTCGTGGTAATCACTTATTTTGGCTGTGCAACTGATTCCGAACTCACTCGAATTGTTGGCAGACCTAAGCAATGCGAAATAAAATGTGTTTTTCCAGATCACTCACTTCATGTATCCAACTAGATCGTGGCCTTCAATAGATTGGTCCCCAAGACCATAACTGAACATCACATTGCCTGATACACTAGAAAATAAAAGTCAATTTTAGAACAATTGAATGCTAAACATGTAGTGCAGTCGTTTCGTGTGTGGCGGGGATACAACGATTCCATCATCTCCATATCTCAGTGCAAACAACAACTTCTTGCTTTTGATCATGAAAAGTGTTGAAGTGTGCTCTCCGGTGACAGAGGTGGAATAATATATCTTCAATGAATATGTTGGAAACAGTTGAAGGCAGAAAAACTAACTTCGTCAGAGTATGGATCAGCCGACCAATAATACTTGCCTGTCATGGAGATATGGAGGGGAAACTCGAAAATTGGTTGTATCGTGGATTGTCCAGAAGCTGAAAAGATGAAATAAAATATCAAGAAAATTGGAAACTGCTCAACTGAACACATCTCTCACTCCGAATACGAAGCAGTGGGAGGATGGGGTACCACGGGGTCCTGTTTTGGTCATCAAATATAAAAGCTGAGCTTCATTATCATAAATACTATTTGTCTGAAAAACGAGGTGAAACTTTTCAAAAAACTGAGCAGAACTAACAACATCCGTGCTTTGAACACTGAGAGACAGTTTCGAATAGTGAGGGAGAGTACTTGGACTGATTTCTTTTATGCTTGTAGCAATTTTGGAAATGTTGGTCCTTTCAGGCATCTGAACCATCACATAGAAGGAGAGCCGATAGAGATTAACTAACCTCTATATCAACTATACTGAAGAATACAAAACCTCCACTTCCACCCAATAGATATAGAAGTTTAGGACGATGAACGGCATTTGTGTCACGAATTAGATGAAGAAAATGGAATTTGAAGGAGTTATGATCCGAAGAATCACATGTGTTATCACTTCAAAATTCCAATCATTACAGATAGCGAAATTCAAAACTCACGTGGTAGCTGCTCTTCTTAGAAACTGCGGACATACTTTCTCCACCAGATTTGTCTCTACTATGGTTTCACATTTCAGTTGTGAAATAACCATAAAATGAGGTGTCCTGAGGATTTCATCGAAACGGACGCTCCGTACAGAATAGAAACAATTTGATAAATATAATGATAACAAAAAAAACGAATGGCTGTACATAGTTTTGAAACTCCGCATATAGTAACCAGTCACGACGCCACAGATGTGAATGAATAAGATTTACGCAAATTTTTCAAATTCCCGCGAGTACGCAATAAATGCGTATACGTACGGTGATATTTAGAGATCTGTCTGACGATGGATATGACAACCGTATAATCGCAACTTTGTAAAGTTCATGTAATGTATTTCAATTTTGTTCTTTTTTCGGTTATAGATAAAGCATATACTTGTACACGTGTATTGTTAATTACATGGGAGAAAAAAAAGGAAAATTAAAATCAAAAACTCAACAGTTTATTAGCCATCGAGAATACAACAAATAACAAAATGTTTTCTTTAGATGTTGGATGGGTAGAGCATCTGCAATAAGAATAATGAATGAAAAGGAAATTTACATGGAAATGCTTACCACACGAACTCTGTTACCAATAGCATAAGGGGGGAGATTGGAACGGAACTTGGCGCGGACGGTACCAGTGCTTCCGTGAGCTCTGGTGATCTTTCCCCAAATAGCGCGAGTCTTAGATGGTGTGTTGGTTCCAGATCTCTACAACAAAACAAAGATGAATATTAGGATAAATGTAAAACATACGGTGCGCTTGGTTTGGGCTTTGTATACATAGACAGCTCTCTTTCCAACGTAGAAAGCAGCATCTTGCTTGTTGAAAACGCCATCCAACTTAAGAAGAGCGGTATGCTCTTGTTGGGTGCGAAGTCCTCTTCTGAATCCGGTGAAAACTGCCTTTACGTAAAGTCTAAAACCAGAATATAAGTAACTAAAACATGTAAGAAAACCTACTTTCCGGCTGGCTTGGGTCCAGCGCGTCTAACAGTCTCCTCGACCATGATTACCTACAAGATGTTCAAATGAAAAAGCCAAAAAAATTTAAAAAACAATTTAACGAGAGACATAACATAACAAAATTCCCAAAAATCGTCGTTTCTGGAGCAAAAAAACACATTCAACGGTCAGAAATTAAACTATAAATATCAAATTTACCTTACTCGCAATATTTGAGGTGAAGTAACAAATATAAAACAGAAAAAAACGTAAATAAAAACCTTTAAAAGCAAGAAACTCTTTTAGGACTACGCAAAATTTGCAACTCAATGTATACTGTAGTTAGCACTAGCGCTGTGGGGTTCGCGGCGGGATCTTATAACTGGCGCATATTTAGTCCTTCAAACATATGGCGGACAACTGCTCGTCTTAACTAAGTTTTGGTCGTAACCGAGTATTTTCTTGCAGACGTCTAAGCAAATAAGGTTATCACTAACATGCTTGAAGTTATTTCAAGAAAATTGTGACAACTATTCATATAGGGAACAGTATTTCTCAATGAACGTGAGAAAACTGAATATACAACCGTTCTCTGCGCTTGCAAAATGCAGAAACTGAACTCCTTATTGTTGTGTAGAAAGATATATGATAACAGACTAATGTTATTCCTGTAAATAAAGATTTGCCTGAAACCGTCTTCGATTATTCAAATACCTTACAATCCATTAAATTATGAACATCAAAGAAATCTTATGAACATTTTCGAACCAACTCTCATGTTGCAAATCCTTTCACTTTCTTTTATCAGGCTCAGTCTCTGATAGACGGAAAGAAAGGGACAAGGAGGTGGGCACTTCGTTGAAATTTGGGTCATTCCTTGCCTTCTTTCACTTCTGCTTCGATCAACTTGTCTCCGTAGTTTCCTTCACTCACTGATGTGGTCTTCCATGCAGCTGCTATATATTTCGATTTTAGTAACAACTATAACGGCGGTTTCACTAGACCCTAAAGGTAATCCAAATATCCTAAATATGCGGGTGATTCATAATTTTAAGCATTCCGGCCTTGTTTTGAACGTTATCCTAACAATCGCTTAGTCGGTGCTCAACCATATCACAGCGAATGGCGCATGAGAACGGAGGATAATTGTTTGCAATTCTGTGCTGAAACAGCTGTAATCTCTTGAGATAGGGCTTCGAATACCAAGTTCATCTTTCAGTCACGTTGTCGTTCTATCGTTTTTGATTCTGTTCAACATATATGCCACTTTTTCTTGGATTCTGGAGAGAATGTTGCTGTACCTGCAGCAAAAATGATCTACTTAAGAGTTACAAGCAAATCTTGCCTAGGTAAGATTTCGTTTTTCTCTATCGCTAACTGGGATATACAGATCAATCACGAATTCAATCGTCTCAACCTGAGGTCAGCAGACAGATCCCAGCACCTTATATAATTGCTCAAAAGAATGATATGAAGAAACCTAAAGTCTCTGTGTCTTTCGCCAACAATCTTCCATCTAAGAAATCTTACGGCTCTCAGGTAACTAGAATCTGAAAGCAACATTCTGTACTCGAAAATGTATAGGAATGGATCAAAAAGAAAACACCCAAAACTACTTCTCTCGATCTTCAAAAAGCGCAGTCCTACAAAGGTATTCTTAGTAATGATGAAAAACCTCCATTACTTGACTCAGGTTCCTTCGAGAGTGTGGATGATTTCAAGAGAGACATTCGCCCGTCCGATACAAAACAGAGGTATTTCCTGATCTAATTGGAAAAATGAAAAAAAACTAACATCTTCCTAGATATATGTCGTCGATGGAAAAGTTAGAGAAAGCGGATGTTGACGTAGTTTTCACGAAAAAACGAGCTGTACGTGATACTCTCTGAACTATGAAAGATCAACCTTTTTAGGGATTCGGAAAGCTTCCAACTTCACGTGAAGAATTGACTGCCACCAAGACTAGATTAGAAACAGACTTGCGTAACAAACTAGGTAACCATCTACATTTTATCGCAAATTTCTAATTATTGAATCAGAGCGTATGAAAAGTAGATATCCTACCAACTATTCCGAATATGTAGGACCTAAGCCAGTTGCTTCACCTGGAACATTTGTGAATTATACACAAACCACACAGCGACCAACTACTACACCTATCATTAGAACCACCACCGTTAACTTCAACAAACACAATAAGGTGCCGCAATGAATCGAACAGACAAAACTAATTGAACGCTTCAGATGCACAAGTTCAAGACCATCCAGTTCAAAGAGAATATGATGTTCTCGAAAAAGACTACCCACCCATCCGAAATTAGAAGGAAACCTTCTGTATATGAGAAGGTTTGTTGATCACAACTCGCATGACAAAAACTTTTGCTTTCAGCCTTCATTTGCATCATACATTCCTAAAGCAATGTCATTCTTAGAAACTATAAATGGAAAGTCTAAGAACGACGCAGTCAAAGAGATGGGACCTATAGCTGACAGTTAGTTATTCTTCAAGTTGAAAATGAAACGAAACCGAGAGTGAATCGGAAATCGATCACAACCTAATTAGGCGATTTGTGAAATCAAGGGAATTAACCCCTTTTGAACTGTGAATTTGCTTGTTTCTTCTGAAACAAATCAAAACTTTCTCTTCATCAGACAAAAAAAGTTTTTCGGCCTAATTGATACGGCTCTGGATCATAATTTATCATTCCGTATAAGGGAAGTAGAGATCAAACCTATATCGCTTGTGATAGTTCATGGCAAGACAAAGAAAATGTCTAATAATAGAAAGAGATTCGAGATAGTTTATCTGGAGCTCTTCATTCCGTCTTTAGCAAACCTGTCTCACAGGGACATTTTCAATTTCATGTTGAAATAGAAAGCCCTGGTTTCGCTTTAAAAGGGCCACTTATGCATATTAACCTTTTAATTTATGATGATAAATGGATAATCGGGATAAAGATGATGTTAATCAGTGTGAACATATGAAATCAGAATACCTTGGATGAGAGAGAAGATAAGCGAATAATTGATAAATTTCAGTTTGTGGACCAGATGATTCTTCTATTTGGGTGACTTTCGAAAACAGTTTGGATAGTGAACAAGTTTCTATCGACAGCAGTTCCTTAACTAAAGACGAATGTAGGGATATGTGCAACCAATTAGTACGTTCAATACCTTTTTTGGTATCATCATTGGATTTGTAGGGATGTAAATCATTCTCATTCTTTGAAAAAGAGTCTCAATGTATGATCAATGAGAAGTCTGATGGAGTCAGACTAAAACCTTCGCCCAATGGAGATTTCTCTGCCTCTACTTCCGTCAAGTTCTGTTATGCAAGTAAGAAGAAATCTTGATCGCCAAAGCAGTTCCTTTCCCTTTTATAGAATCTCTCCCAATCTTCCGTGAGTGTTCGACTTTCGTTGGATTCAGAGAGTACACCTTGGACGTGAGTGTTCGTCGATATAAATGCAGTAGTTTCAAAGCTTTTAGGTAATTCCAAGAGAAGAATTCGAAGGACTCCCTAAGGGATACCAAGGAATGCAATTGTGCATTGAATTATGCGTTCTCAGTACGGATTATACCTGTCGAGTAAGTAGATTAATTAAGAGAACATAGAACCTTCCTCTCGTTTCAGTCTGCTTCATTCAATGTTGAGAAGGGTCGTTGTACTTTGAATGCTTATGACTCTATCAGCAAGCCTGAGAGTTTCCGTCAGATTTCTCAATCTAACCAATTGTATATTGAAAATGGCTGCACTAAAGTAGATTTCTTCAGTAAGGAAGGTAATTAACCTCTAGAATCAAGAAGGAGAAATGTAATTATATTATTTAGAACAATCTGCTCTCAATATCATTCGAGTGCCAAACATAGAAAAATCACCGTTGAAAGCTATTCAAATTAAAAAGATCAAGTAAGAAAAAAGATCAAACAAAGTAAAACATGACACATTTAGGAACCGTAGAAAGAAAAGATTCTAGAGGAGTATATGATCATTATATATCTTAATAAATGTACATAGTAATAATTAAATAAAAATATTAAGTTGAGGACTGACTGAAATCGAAATGAGCCAAGTTGTACAGTTTGTCCGCATGTGTTCCAATCGTTGAATGTAATTTTTGGGAAGAGAAAGTAAAGAGATCTTTCAAACACGTCACCTGTTAAGCGAAACAGTCAAGACTAGATCATGAAGACACTAACCTCGTTGTTCAACATTATCGAAGTTACATCGCCTTTCGCTACTCCTTCCAAGCTGCTCGATAAACTCCTGAGAATTTGGGCATTTGGCTTACTCTTCTTCTTCGAATCTTTGGGACCTTAAGAGCTACTTCATAAGAAAATGACAGAAAAATGAAAACCTGATTCAGTAGGTGCAGGTGCATCTCCTGACCTCAGCGAGACGGCTTTCTCAACATCTGGTTGATCCCTCGAGATCTAAGGTAGTGTGTGAGAGTGAACAACAAACCATACTTACTTTCAACTCGGCAAAGTATTCAGCAGTGTTCTCTGGTGAGATCGACCACAAGAGTTTCATTTTGGGTTGAGCTCTTACCAAAGAGCATAGTAAAGCACGAATGTCCCGACAATATCGAGTCAGTTCCCCCTGATTAAACATAATTAGGCTTGAAAACTAGTGAATCTCACCTGGAAAGGCCCTCCATTTACAATCTTAGCTTCAAACTTCCTATTCGACTCAATCAACAAGAATGTGTTGGGGTAATGTTCTAACATCTGAAACTGATTGTGTTGAACAAACGAACGAATGGAGTAACCTGTTCAATTTGCTTGAAAACTCTTCCAGACTGTAACGATTGAGTCAAATCATCCAGAGCTTTTCTCTCAACTGATACACCGGGAGTCAAAACATAATCACCAATCTGAACATATCCAGTATAATCATGTTCGAGATCAACTGGATCACCTCAAGTGTGGCAGCCGCCACTTCAAATCCTTTTTTATAGAGAATTGTTGGAAGCTCACTGTTAAACTCTCTCATATCCACAACGATCTATATAAGGTTTTCATGACAGGTTCAGAGATATCAAGAGCAAACCAGAGGTCTTGCTGGAACTCCTTCAGGAACTGGCGCTCCTAGATCTCTGGTGTTCACATTCAGGGTAGGAGGTTCGTCTCTAGTGACATCCCAAGTACGAGGAATGAGTAAAGTCTGGAAAAAAGGATCCTTCCCATCATAAAATGAAAATAGCCTACAGCTTTCTCTCTGAGGATCGACTCAAATGCTCTAGTTTCATTGTTAACAGCCGTCAAATAACGCTCTTCTTCCGTAGAATTGGAGTATTGCACTTGATGGACAACAAAGTGAAGTTTATCATTCAGTGCTTTGTAAATCTAAAATAGATATGAGAACTCTATGAACTGAGTGCACAACCTCAAGCTGTCTGATCAACGATAGATCAGAGTTGTATAAGATGACAGCAGTTGGCTTTTTTTCTTCCAAATACCTGAGAGTGTTATACCTCTCTCCGATGGGTGAGAAGACGAGAGGAACCTGAATTATGTATGAGAAATATGAAAGAGCGACGTCTCCGAGCAACTTACATTATCAATTTCGCCTATTTTATTAATGAGAACTTCTTCATCGTTTTCTTCAATCGGTTCCTCTTTAACCTCCTTGACTTCCGGATCAGATAACTGGAAATAAGGAAACTACAAAAAACATTGAAAGTTCAAACTATTTCATCAATTTGTTGAAAAAAAAACGTGGTCTAATTCATTTGACCTATTGCACCATGTACCGGTAGCTTCCCCCGTGTTTACGAACTAGTTTTTTCTTTTTTCTTCTTTTTCGTTTTTTTCTTTGGTTTGCTCCAGACTTATACATTCGTTAGGGAAGCAGAACGTTTCAGCCTTTGCTCGTCCATTTAATATTAAGGAAATGCTCTCTAAATTGCTTAATGCTGCTCTGCCATTTTTCCAAACTAATTGCGAAACGTTTTACCGAGAAAGCTTTTTGCAGTCAGCCTTGTATATAAACTTTGCCAGACAGATCGTATAGCCTTTCAACTTTTTTTTTTTATATAATCTGAGGTGTCGTGTATTTTGTATATAAACATCGTTTGATTATTTGAACTAAATTCTAATCAAATCAAAGCTTGTAATAAGAGAAGTAGAAAATGAATTTAAACAAACTTCTCCGTTTGGGGGAGGAGACGACAGGTCTTTATATACCAATTTTCCAACTCGAATGATCTGTTTCTACTTTGCTCACTTCGTCTAGTTACAGCATAGTCTTCCTCATAAACCTTTCTTATTTCAGTTTTGGGGAAAATGGTTGTTTCAAACGGACCAACAAACGGACGAGTCAACAATGGACATCCAATCCAACAGGTAATTCACTACTATCGAGAACTAGGTACATCAAGCCTTGTTCTAGCTGATCGTGGACAGTCCACTTGTTCAAAACACCGGAACTCATTTGGAGTCTACCTATACCTACAGGAAGAATCATTTTGAGAAATCCAACAATGGATCTCTCAAAGTAACACCTAAAGAGCATAATTACTACTTCCGAACTCAATTGAAACCTAAGAAGACAGGTGACAACAACCTCCGCAATTCAGATTTAAACTTTTCGTTAGGTGTCCTTCTTGTTGGTCTCGGTGGAAACAACGGATCCACTTCTTACGGAGCTGTGTTAGCCAACCGACACAATCTCACTTGGAGAACCAAAGATGGTGTTCAAACCCCTAACTATTTCGGGTATTCTTTGAGGCTCTAGTTCCGATAAGTAATGATTTTTCAGTTCAATTACTCAATCGTCTACCGTTCACTTGGGCTTCGACGGCCAAGACCAAGTTCACGTACCCTTTAGTTCAATCATCCCAATTCTTTCTCCTGACGATATCTGCATTGATGGTTGGGACATTAACAACGCCAATCTCTATGAATCTATGGTCAGAGCAAGAGTGAGTTCATGCAGATCAACTCATTTTATCGAATGTCATTAAGGTTTTCGAAACCGAGCTTCAAGATAAGCTCCGCCCATACATGGAGAAAATAGTGCCTAAACCATCAATTTACTATCCCGATTTCATAGCATCTAACCAAGGAGATCGCGCCAATAATGTTATCCCAGGAAATGACAAGAAAGCTCATCTTGACCATATCCGTAGAGATATCAGAGAGTTCAAAGAGAAAAACAACTTAGGTGAATATTCTTCTTGATTTTAATCTTAATGAAACATTTTAGAATGCGTTATCGTTCTCTGGACAGCCAACACTGAGCGATACACCGATGTAGAACCAGGTTTGAACATGACTGCCAGTGAAGTTCTTCGTTCTATCGAAAACAACGCTGATGAAGTAAGCTATATAAGAGCAACTTTTGAGCTAATTACGTTTTATATTAGATATCTCCATCTAATATCTTCGCTGTTGCTTCTATCCTCGAAGGTGCCCATTATATCAACGGTTCCCCACAAAACACTCTAGTCCCCGGAGTTATCGAACTAGCCCAACAGGTAAAGCGAATAATGGAGTTCTTCGATAGTTGTATTTTTAGCACAAAGTGTTCTTGGGAGGAGATGACTTTAAGTCCGGACAAACAAAGATTAAGTCTGCTCTTGTTGACTTCCTTGTTAGTTCTGGATTGAAGCCCGAGTCGATTGTATCATACAATCACTTGGGAAACAATGACGGAAAAAATCTTAGTGAAGCCAAGCAATTCCGCTCAAAAGAAATATCTAAGTCATCTGTTGTTGATGATATGGTCAAGTCCAACAAAATCCTCTACCCTGACGAAAAGAACCCCGATCACTGTATCGTTATCAAATATGTTCCTTTTGTTGGTGATTCGAAGAGAGCTATGGATGAATACATTTGCAGGTTTGATTTCTAATTCGGGAAGAATAGTTAACCGAGCATTTCAGTATCTTCATGGGAGGACGTCAAACATTCGTTATCCACAACACTTGCGAAGACTCTCTTCTTGCCACTCCTTTGATCTACGATCTCGCTATTTTGACCGAGCTTGCCACCCGTGTGCAATATCGTACAAGCGCTAGCGCTGACTATGAGAGTTTCCACCAGGTGATTTCTTACTATACACTTAAAATTTCAAATGGTTTTCTTAGGTACTCTCGCTTCTCTCTCTCCTACTGAAGGCACCCGTTGTTCCCGAAGGTACACCAGTTGGCAACGCTTTCATGAAACAATTCTGTACCATAACCAAGCTTGTTACCGTATTGGCCGGAGTCAACAGTGAAACTGATTTACAGCTAGAATTTTTCGCGCAGTCTACAAAATCTGTTTAATTTTGAACTTCGTATCTTATGCTTATTTTGAAACCCGTTTTTGTTTTTGAGGGAATGTTAATGAATAAATTTTGATCCAAAACTGGCACGTACCTCTGTTCGCTTTTTCTTATATTGAAGGATGCCGAATTGAACAATATTTGTTTGCTTTCCAGAGCTTGTACTTCCGATCATGTCTTCAGCTACTTTTCTTTTTTTACGCTCAGCTCTTGCGGTTACGATCTGATTTTTTCGAACATCGTCCTTGAGATGTTCTCGGTCTTCACGATTCTGCACTTGATGATCATTTTAACAACAGTAAAACTGATTACCATACTAGTCCGGAGATACATACTTGTACTATTTGGATCCCAAACAGGATCTTTAGGTGGTTCCCGATCCGTTATGAAAAGTTCTTTGCAAACCACCCATTCGGCAAACTTTTTTCCATGTTTAACAACATCCATCAGTTGACGGCAAACGATATCATCAGAAGCGAAAACCACAACAGACGGTCCTGCTCATAACAGTTGAATGATTTTTTGATAAGCTGACAAACCTTCTTCTCCAACACGATCAGACGAGATTTGCATGTTCTTTATTTCCTTCAAAATATCGATAAGGACATCCCATTTAGGAGGAGCTACATAATGAATATGATTACTCATCAGTTTTACATACCCATGAATGTTTTCGCATCGGTTCCACACATTGTACCAACATCCGTGAACATTCGGTTAGCTATTGAAGAGAGAATCCAGCCATTACTTTTCTCGAGGAACTACAGATTTTAAATATCCATGTGATCGCTATGGACTGAATCGCTTACTTCTTTGCTAGCTCGGATGTCATTCAATCGTTTTGATAAGGTTGCCATGTCTAAATCTTCGGCATGCCTAAGAAGCTCACGGAGTAGTTCCAAATCGGCAAGGATTCGACTTTGCTTTTCAGTTAAGAACGACCTTAGAATAACAATTGAAGTACAGCCACAACATCTCTTCTTCTTTACCTTTTTTCCAATAGTTGTCTTTCCAGTGAAGTAACAACATAAGCGTACACACCTATTGTACTTTCGCTTTCGTCTTGGTTCACCTGAATTAAATAATATTTTTGCCAAAGGCTTAGTGATACTTTTGATATGTACGAAGACTGTTTTAACTCTCTCATGCAGACTTTAATTAAATCATGCAAAGCGTTCTGTACTCTTCTCAAAGAAGAAGGAAGTGCTACGTTCCATTCTACCACCGTGGCCTAAACTCAGAACATTATTAAATATTCTCCATGAATACATACTTGATCCAACTCCTGCCGGACTTGTTCATGGAACCTTGGGAGAATTACTACTTTCTTAACATACAACCGATCCACTATTCTCTGTAATTGACCTATGGAAGACAAAGCTGAGGATGTTTCAGTGAATCCCTGAAACCAAAGTACATAGTTAATACATATTACTTCCTTCTGAACCTTTACAAAACCTCCTCGCTTCTGTTCACGATACAATCGAAGGATAAACGTTTCTTGGAAGCTATTAAGTAATCTGAAAGACGATCATCAAGTTGTGCATGTTAACAAATAGCTTACTGATGAGCTCTATACACTAGAATTCCCGCAACATTCATAGCAGGAACATTCTTTGTCAAAAAGTCGACCAAAAGAATTCTTGAGGTGATGAATTGAATTCCTCCGCTCAAGTATAGAGCTTGTCTATGAATGAAGTCAGAATAGAACAGTTCCAAATCAGTGTTACATACCTATCTTTAACATTTACATCAGCTGTTATAATCTTAGGAGAACAAGTGATACCCGTATCTTTAAGTTTGTTTATGAAATATGCCTGGAAGGTATGGTTAACATGGTTAACGATATCTGAATGACATACCTCATCATGAGTATTTGTATTAAGAACTAAATAAAGAAGTTTCTGATCCGAGTACATGATCAAATGATTGAGGAAGAGCCTTTCCATACCCAAACCCCTGTAACAACATTGTTTCTCATCTGTTTTAATACGGTTAAAGCTTGCCTCGCTGTTATAAAAAGTGTATCATCACTAACGGTATCCAGTAATAAGGTACTTTCATAATCCAATAAATCGATTTGCCCCTCATTTCCAAACGAATCATCAGGATTTTCAGTTTTGATTTCGTCTTCCATTCTCCTATATCATATAATTAACTATTGAAAAAAAGGTTGCTACCGCTAACATAGACGCAACCGCGCCCAGGGCGCGTTCAATTAAAAATGAATTAACTGCGCGCCAATACTAACAAAACAACATTGTGTACGTGGAGGGCGCAGAGTTAATATGTTAATTCCCCCTACGCTTTTTTCAAATCAGAAACAAGCTTTATCTCTGTATCATGTTGTATCTCTTCTTTTCATATACTATTTCTCATGGAATATATGTAGCCGGTAAATGTATTTTCGTACTATCCCCCCATATATAGCATGTCCAACGTACTTTTCCTCCATCAAAGAACAAATGGAATAATAAAAGTTTATTAAAACCAAAATAAAATAAAAAATCCAGACTAATCAAAGATTCCGGATCCGGAATCCCCCGCCTGCTCATGTGAAGTCCCAATGTAGAAGCTACCTGGATCAAAAAATTAACATTTTTAAAGTGAAGAAATAGACATACCTTTCCTCTCCGAAATCGTTCCTGGTTTCCATCTGGGTTCACGGCGGGTATCCAGACCCAGCTGAACGTATTCCAAGCCGCGGAATAACGTTTCGGTTCCACGGGGATGGAATTCGAAAGTTCCTTTGATCAACTCGAATACTATTACATCATGGCTTTTCGAAACTGCAGCAACCTTTGACTGAAAAGAAGCTCAAATTCAGCAACTAGTTCATATTATTGAAAAAACCTCAAACCGCATCATAGGCTCGAAGACATTATATAACATAACTACTTCGTCCATGCTTTTTCTTTATGTATGTCTGTGCTTCAAGTTAATTTTCTCATTTCCACGTTACGTTACCTAATTTGCATAATTTCTCTAGATATTTCAGTGTTGTGTTTGTTTAACTTCAGACCAGGAAATCATAGACAAGTGAAAGAATAAAAATTTATTAAAAACCAATATAAAATACATATAGAAACGACATAAGTTCATCCTTTAGACCCGACATACGCAGCTGAGTTTGATATCTGTACATGACAATTATGAAGTGAAACAATGAGACAAAGGTACTTATTGTTAAACAAAATCCGTTAATATCACACTGTTGTACAAAGACTACTGAAAGGGAAGTGACATAACGTATATAATACCCGGCAAAATCTGAGAAAGATGTCATGAACAGTCAATGTTATTACAAAAGAAAACAAAAAAAATCAAAAAACTTAACACTCAGTGGAAAGAGGAGGCTTTTTAGGCGAGATTAGATCACAATTAGCAGAGATTATAGTGGATATGTGTTGGAAATAGTCCTCCAAGCTGAAAATACTTTGAGTTAGGAAAGCGAGATGATTCAGAGGAACTCACTGTGATATCATGGGCGTCTTGAGGGAGGGGTTGGTTGTAGTTGGTGGATGGACTCGGAAAGTTTGCATATCAAATCCTTGAGTTAAGAAAGTGATACAGATATGGCCATCATGTTCAACAGTTTCTTTCCACAGTATAATTTTGACTTTCTCATTAAATAAGTTAATCTGAACAGATTATAGTTACATTAGTAGTTGCAGATGTGTGTGAGTACCTGTATAGTTCCATCGCTTAGGACAACTATTAAATGATCTGCCGATAAACGGTAATAAACTATATAAGGAGCATCTACAATCGAGAATCTAAAGAATGGGATAGTTTGGCCTCCAGCCAACTCCTTATCCATATAACTTCCATATACAACAGCAGTCTGTAATGAGGAATCTAGATTAAGCGGACAGGCTCCACTACACTTACGTCGAACAGTTGACTTTCCATGGAAGGTCTTGTTGTACACATATCACAGATTTTAGGCACCGAAAAAGGAGAACTAGCATAGATGAATCGAGTCGAATAAGGTCTGTAACAAGTTTCCAATCAACTCTCTCTCTTCGAGTATTGAGGTCTTACGGGATAGTGAGACAAGACCCCTCATTGAATTTCACAGTAACTGAACCATCTGATAATTTACAAGCAAATCCACGACTATTAGAGTAGTCAACCCATTTGGATATATAAATTCCAGTAAACGCACATGGTATTAATGTAAGATGGCCTTCTAAAACGAAAGAGGAAGAATCAGTTTGAAGATATTCGGATTACCTAGAATGGACCGCAAATCTTTTTGAACTTGAGTTATTCTCTCCATTAACAAAGGCCTTCGAGACATATCCACTTCAGAACCAAAGCCTGAATCATGAGATCCTGTGATGGATTTTCGTCGTGTCTGGAATGTAAGCGATAATATCGGGAAAGTAAGAAGAGAAACTACTCTGTCGCTGAGATATGAACTGTCCTGCAACCCGCCGACAGTTGATTTTGGTCTCGAGAACTTGAAGTAGTTACCATTCGCATCTTTCAACATGTCTCCAACACTTTTTGTTCTGTGATGATTGAACTATGAATGACCTTATTAGCTATGATCTTACCTGGTCAGAGCAGCTTGGTTTGTCAAATACCGAGGAGACATATGTGAGTCTTTGGGCAGGTTGTCAACGAACCAAGGATAACGTAACAACGTTTTCACTCGAGGTCGAGATTTGGGATTAACCGACAAACATCTGCAAAGCACAATTGGATCATAGTGTACACATCTAACTGCTTACTGAGAAATGATTTCTGATACGACTGGTGTAGCTTTAATGCCCATTGTGATTCTGGAATACATGTTTCAAGGACAGGTGTTTTGTACAAACTGACTTATAATCCCCATGTGCTATTTTGATGTAAGTTTTCTCTATGGACTCGGTTTCGAAAGGGGGAAGGCCTGTCATCATGCAATACAAGAGACAACCAATAGACCAGACTTCACTGCTTTCTGAGTGTCCTTTTCGTTGAAGAACCTTAAACTGTTTTCTTGAGAAGAACAAAAAACAAGTTATCCCACCTCAGGAGCTAAGTAATTGGGAGTTCCACTAACACTAGCGGAGTGAAGATCTTTCATCTCTATGGCTAATCCAAAATCACCTAGTTTAACTTCTCGATCATTTCCTAAAGCAAATTGAAAGTACAAGAAAAGGTCTATTGTGTGTATACCGATGAAGATGTTTCCAGGCTTGATGTCTCGATGAAGAATATTCCTATCTAATAAATAATCGACAGCAGAAAGAATTCCATATAAATAATTCCGGACAACGTGCATGTTCATACAGGTACCACGTTGGCCTACAAACAAGTCATATAGGAAGTGTGTTCTCGGAAATATCACTTACCATAAGCTGTGTTTATGACGGTCAGCAAGCTATGATAATTACATAATTCCAGAACAAGATAGAAGTTCTTGCTATCTTCGAAACTGTCTAACATTGAAACGATGTTCTTATGGAGGGCCATCCTTCAACGCAAGTAATTAATGGTCGAAAGGGAACTAGGTGACTCACTTATGAATGCTGATTTCTCTTTTCATTTTTGTATATCCAGAATCCCTAAGTTTAGTCTTTTCCACAATCTTAAGAGCAACATCAGCTCCATTACTTAAAACCTTAGCCGCATAACATTCAGCGAAACCTCCCTGAAAATAGAGTTGATTAAAAAAAGATTTGTCTTCTCTTCAAATATAGGAAAGAGATTATGTGTGGCTTTGTGTTCTTTCATATCTCTCTTTATAAGCTTGACTTAACAATCTATAAAGGAACAGAAAGCAATATTTACGAGGCTAAGAACAGAAATAACACTAAGAGCAAGAGCAAATATAGTTGAACCACACACACACACACACGGACAGACTGAGAAAGCTCATACAAGTTAACTACGATAAGAGCATATAATTCTCGACAAACATCACTGAACACGAGATTGCTTAGAAATTAAAAAACACACTCACCTTTCCGAGAAATCTTAATATTCGATAGTTTTCTACACCCAGATGAGGGTTATCATCAATGACTATGTCATCCGAACGGAACTGGGAAGGGCTTCCGCCCAAGTCATACATAGAAGATCTGAAATAATTGTGAATAAGCCTATGAAGATGGAGGAAATGAAGACAAAACGAGATAAAATCATTTCAAGTTCTCAAAGAAGTCGATGAGTCACAGTCATCTATAGTCTTCACTCATATGAACGAGAAAATTGTGACAAAATGTAAGAAAAAACAATCATATCAGAGTCAAACTGATAAAAGGTATTAAAAACAGAAAAAAATGATCAAACCAACCAGTCTCAGCGCAAGAAAATGAAAAATGAAAAGTGCTCAAAATTTAATTGTGGGTTATTAAATGTACAACCCCGGATGCGATGGAGCATGTTTTGGTATGTCTGTCATTTAATTGTCCACCCCCTATCATATTGTCAAATCGTAGGATTTGTCATAAAAGTCTCGAGGAAATCAAAACGGTAAAGATGAATGTGTGTATGTGTGGAGGGGGAAAAGAATATTTTTTTTTTTTGAATACAAACAGCTTGGAATGCCTTATTTGATAATATTTTATTTCTGGAGGTGTTCGGATTGAAAGAGACAGAAAGAGAGAGAGTACCTGTTTGGGATGACGTGAATCAGAGGAAAGTTGGAAAAGGAGAACACGAGGCAAATGTGACACAGCTGTGTAAGTAATAGATATAGAAGAACGATATAAGAAATAGAATGTGATTTGTATGGAAATGTCTTGAAACACAAGAAATTGGATATGGAGAAGGCATGTGTGGATGAACGGTATGAGACAGTGCGAACGCGAGCGACAGAAAACGATTGAGGTTAATAGAAGTTGAGAAAGTGAATATCCGCAGATGCTTCTCGCAAAAGAAAGAGAATGCGAGATGATGAATGTAGCTACAGATTGATATGAGAACGATGGCGAAATGAATGATGACCTTAAATAGAAAAAAGGTTTGGGACGCATGGAAAACATTTTTTTAATCAGAATTCAATACTCACGTCTATAGTTGTCGGAAAAAAAAGATATTAGATGACCTTATTCAAAGACTGTAATCTTGTCAGTGAAACATTTTACGGAAAAAGAAAAAGGCGAAGAAAAACCAGTTGATCTTCCCGTAATCATAATAAACATAGTAATCTTGTGCGAAACTCGGAATTAGGCGTGAGAAGCAAAATGGTTTGATGAGCAACATGCTGCTATCAAGAGTATAAGTGACTAAAACGGTTTCATAACAACATAAAAAAAACATTTGAATCATCTGATGCTGAAGAAGTTTATAGAATGAGACCAAAGATGGAAAAAATTGAAAATTCAAAGAAATGAAAATGTGTATTGTATGAGACATAGACTGTACGGACCAGCAAAACGCTTGGCTAGCCCTATTCGATGGCCAGTGGACGAAATGAGGGGCCAGAAAGGTTAGTGGAGACAACGGAGGTCGTCGAAGGTCAGATTAGGAAATAATGGTAAAGAAGAAGAGAGATGAGTGAGAAAAACAGAAAAGAACACGTATTAATTACTGCGCTCATTCACTGCGTGTATGTGTATGTCTTTCTCTCATTTTCTCTCTTTTTTGTTCGCCTACCTCTCTCTCTCTTCAGCCATATGCAAAATTTATACTTTTGTTCTCGTCTCCTCCCACCTTGCTATCCCCTCCCCCACAATCCCAAATACCTTAATAAACGGTCTCTGCCTTCATTAAATGTGTTTTTCTTTCTTCCTATCTTTTACTCTCTGTCTCATCCTCTCACGTGAAGTCAATTGTGAGCAATGTCTCCGCTCTTACCTCTTTAACGGAGCCTTTTATGGTCAAACAAAGCCATCGTACAGATATCTGTGCCGTTACAGTGTGGCCCCAAACAGTCCAAATAAAGTAAATAAATGACAAAAAAGGAAGGAAAGATTGCAAAAAAGAGGAATTGCGAAAGAAACTTGTGAATGAGTATGATACTTCAATTAGAATAAGATGTTTGTGGAAAAAAAGGAGAAAAAGGCGATGAGTGATGCTGATGAGGATGGTCGTGGTGGTCAGTTACAAGCTGTACTGTTTGTCTTGCTCTTTTTCAAAATCAAACACGTCAACTGCGGCAATTTAATGCTGAACGATTTGAGAAGAAGAAGGAACTTGTGCTTTCATCTTCAATCGTTTTCATAGATTTTATTGTACAGTCGAACAAACAGGAAAAGTGTATTGTAGACCCTTTGCCTCCACTCTCCCTTCCTCCTTTTCTTGTCCTCAACACAAGTCCAGACGTGCCATAAATGGAAAGTTCTCGGATTGTTGCTTTGTCAATAAGAAATATGACGGACACGGACAAGGGAAAAAAACTTCTCGATTCTCCATACAAATCGTTCTCAAAGCTCATGTAGTACTACTAGTGGTCTAGTGAGTAGTTTCACAGCATAGCTTCAAAACTGAAGTAAAAAAGAATAATTTTGTTAAAATTCTGTGGACACTTGGAAATATGATAGTCATAGCCTTGCCATATGGCATATGTCGTCAGTTTAATTGGCAGAGAAGACGACAAAGCAAAGTTTGATGAGGAAAAATGACAAAACCTAGTTCCAAGTCTCTCTCATTCTTATGATCATTCGAGTGAGTTTCAAAGCTCCGCAAGTAATGTTTCTTAGAAGCTGATGTCTCCCATTACGTAATTGACATAACATTCCGGAGAAACAGCACTGTCGAAAATTAGAAGATGAGTGAGAGCAGCGGAAATTCATTTTTGAAAAAAGGAAGAGAGAGAGAGAGAGGAAGATATGGAAAGAGCATATGAGAGAAAGGGAAAGAAGCGCGAAGGTAAAAGATTAGACTGCAGAAAGCAGTGCTTTTCAAATTTTTAAAAGCACATTGTATTGTTTGGAAAATGAAAATGAAGAAGCTAGTATGGTATCGTGATATGATGAACTCCTATGGCTTACATCTCGCTTGGAGAAGGCATGAAGCTGATAAGAAGAAGCAGAAAATATGTGAGTGAGTTGTATGCCTAGAAGATAACAAACCAGAAAAGCAGAAGCAAGATTTTCAGACAAACGAAAGATTTTATAATTATGAAGAAGTTAATGAGACCAACCGCTCCTCACGACGCAAACATTCAAAATAAAACGTTGACGTCAACAATCTACGTGAACTACGTGAAATACGATGACGTAACGTTGTACGCTAAACAGCTCAAGATTGGAGAATAATGTATTATTATAAGCATATTATGAGAAAAGAGCCAAAGACGGTTGAAAAGCCGAAACAGACTCGTATTTGTTCTGAAGCTAGACTCGTCACTGGCCGTCTGTATGATGGGATAGAGAGAAAGATAGAGAGAGAGAGAGAGAAATAGAAAAAAGGTGAAGAAAGAGAAAGAAAGAGAGGAGGGCGATTGATATTTCAGTCAAACGACTATTTTTCTTTTCTATATGGACAAAAAGAAATTAAAAGCTAACAACAGACGTTGTGTTGAAAACCCTGGAATGGAATTTGTGAGAAAAAAAAAGTTGCGACAGTCGAGCCGAGATTGCAAAAAGAAGTTGGTATTGTTGCCAGAAAATGAAATAAGTGGAGATATAGCTTTTCAACGGAATGTAACTAATGAAAACCGGAATTAGGAGAGTTGAATGATGAGAGGGAACGACATAGTCATCGTTGCAGGGGAGATAAAGCCATTTTTTCACGTGCAACACGTGAATAATGAGAGAACAGCGAGAAGAGCTTAGCTGGATGAGCAAATACAAAGAAGAAGTTAAAAACCTGATGGGAGGTGAGAAGCATATTGGAGAATTGGGTTCGGCGAGAGAAAGCACGAGTGAGAGAGTCAAAAGTATGTAAGATAACTCTTGAACTCACGTAACAGATGATTATACTATAAACACAATCTCTCTTACTCCCTTTCCCCGTTCATTTAAAACAAAAAAAAAGTTTGTCAACAAATACGAGAAGGACGGGAGAGAGTAGCAACAGGAGGAATACCAGGAGAATGAGAATGAGAATGAGAATGAGAAGAAGAAGAAGAAGAAGAAGGAGGAGGAAGAGGAAATCCAGGTTCTTCCAACTTTACAGAATAAACGTGTAATTAATGAACCGGAATGAGGTGGGGAGGCTAGGCACGGAAAACACTCACAAAGTGAATATTAATGAGAAAAAAATAAAAAAAATCGTACAGAAAGCTAACACACACACAGATGATAGATGACGAGAATGATGATGACGAAGTGAGAAGACGAGAAGGAACAGGAAGAATCATTACTTCAACGGGGGGGGGGATAAGATCTTCTTGTCCTTTTTCTTTAACCTATTAACATTTCCTTTTTATCTCACATACATTTCAAACCATTTTCTTTCTTATTACTCATCTTACCCCTCCTACACGTTTACTTCTCTCACTCTCTTACTCTCACTCTCTCTCATTCTCTCTCTCTCTCTCGTCATCTTCTTATCTCTCTTTAGATGTTCTCGCAAAACAATTCCCAAAAACGATTTTTTCCACTTTCATGAACTTTCAAGTGAACTAATTGACGCCTTCTAAACCTTATTAATTGGAAAAACATTGAAATTGATAGAAAAACTTGCAAAAAACTATTCGCAAACTGTTTGTATTTCCAAATAGAGAGAGAGAGAGAGAGAGGCCAATGGTGTTGAGGTCGAAAGAACTAATTTGAGAAAGCGAAGGGTAGGAACATGTCAAACAACTTACTTGTAAGCAATTGACTGATGAATAAGATGAAGGAGAAGCAGAAGATGAAAAAGCAGAAAAAGAAGAAGAAGCTGGATATTTCCATTCAAAAATTATATGAAAAAACGATAAAAGAGAAAGAGAGAAAGGGAAGAATATGTATAAAGAGAGAGAGAGAGAAAGAGAGAGGGAAAGGGGAAGGGTTATAGAGAATGACGAATTCCAAGAGAGATAGAGAGAGAGAGAGAGGGAAGGAAGAGGTGAACGAATAGTTAATGTACTTTACTATTTACATAGTTAATCGATACATTAACTATTTAACTCATAACGAATGTGAGATGAGAAAATCTATTTTTTAACAAAGAAATCTTCTTTTTCTAGTTCTTCTCATCATCATCATATATGATTTCAATACAATTTCATGAAAATCGGAGAGAATAAGACAAATGTGGAAAATACAGTTAATGCTCATGCGAAGATGGGGACGGATGTGGTCAGATTGATTGATGGTCAGCTGAATCTTCAAGGTCTATTACCTCGTTCAGCACCATCTTTGACTGAAAAACAGAAAGATAAAAAGAGAATGAATATGAGATAGATATAGAGAGAGAAAAAGGAAGAGAGAGAGTTAACGAGGGAGATAGAGATTACAGTAGAGAGAGAGAGAGAGAAACATCGTTAGATAGAAGACACAAGATAATACTTTTCAGAAGGAAAAAAAAAGAAGGCGCAAAGATATATGAGGGTTCGAGCGTTTCACACAAATTCAGAATATTTGCGAACAAAAGCATCAGAATACACAGAATACCACCCAACCGAAGGAAAGGAAATGTAGGATGCGGGACAAAAGCAGTTTTTCACTTTTGTTCAGAAAATGAAAACGACGTCGACAACGTTTGAACAAAACGATAAAATCATTCAAGTCTGAGCTTAATCACGCACCGTTAAAAGGAATCAAGTAAAGAGATGGAGTTGAAGGAATACAACAGAAAAAAAAGAAAAGAAGCCGACGACGACGACGACAACGATGAACAAAACGAGTAACAGCTAGATTAGGAGGAGATGAAGAGCGGAAGAAAGGTGACGAAATGATGCTTGTTGTCAATTGCAATACAGCAATGTCCAAAAGAAGGCGGTAGAGCGGCGAGAAGATGCTCAAGGTCTTCTCCATTGCCACATAATGAATGAAACGGAGAAAAAAAAAACAAAAGAAATAAGTACATTATGACTAAAATAACATTTTCAAAAAGCTCAATAAAACAATTGATTTTTCTATAAAAATTGGTTGATTGTAGTCGAAAGCACCAAAAAAACGCTTCGACAACGACACAACTCCACCAGCTAGGATTGACCATCACATCAATCGCTAGCCACCAACTACTACTGCCCTAGTCAATCAAAAGTGTTCCGAAATGTTTTAAACAGAAAGAAAGAAAGGAATTAGACAAAAAAAATAGAAATATGTGGAGGAAAACGAAAACAACCGTTCCCACCGTCTGCAGGACAACAAATGAAAACGATTAGCTGATTCACGTGAACAATCTACGTGAGAACGTGGCAATGAGATAGAAATTAGAATAATTGGAATACAGTCATGAGAAGTATGTATAAACGTTTATATCAAAAGCATTACATATATATATAATGTATATATATATAATGAAAGTGGAAAGAAACAACTGTGAGACAGCAGGTGAAGAAAAAAAATCTGCAAACACCGAAGTAGTCGAGGACAAATTCCTTGGTTCCAAACTATAAGATTGGAAGAATCGATTATAAAACTACAAATAAGGAAGTTAAGATCAATTAGTTAAATAAATATTTATGTTTAATTGGAAACAACTGTCCGTAGTGATAAGAAGAAGTTATGGCTCAACACCGCTAATTATAATAAATGAAGAGAGTTAGTGAGAGAGAGAGAAAATGAATATGGATAGAGAGTGAGATGATCTGAAAAGGTCACCTCTTATGAGTCAGAAGCTTTGTTTAAAGGGGGGCTGAATGTTGAGAGATAGGGACTGTAAGGTAGAGAGGGGAGAGCATGACCCGAGTCTTTTCTCACCCACACACTCATCTCTCACAGATAAGGAAACAGCGATGACAAAACCTGCATTTTTGGCCAAAAAAGAGGCATCTACGTTCTAAATTCAAATGAACGGTATATACAAAGACAGACAAAACGAATGAGAAAGCGAGAGAGAGAGAAAGAGAGAGAGGAAGAGAGTGAGAGGGAGAGAGATGGCAAAGTTGAAGAGAGAAAATAGTTTTTTATATTATTAATTTAATCGATTGGGAAGTTGTTCAATGGCATGATATGGCTTTCGATCATAATAATCATCATTGACTTGATTAACAGCTGTGGTGGACAAATCAAGATCTGGCGCATTCTATAAAAAGGCAACATTGAAGCTGCGTCATTAGATAGAAGATGAACTGACTCTATTCAGAATATCTGTTTGAGGTGTTGGCTCAGCATTTACAAATATGGTTCGAATCATTTTAGGAATAGTAAACATGGAGATGCCTTGAATGTGTGTGGATTATTCAAATGACAAAATAGAAAATCAAACCAGGTGATGAATGAGGTGAGACAACTCCGATGTACAGATAGAGGATGAATAGAAGAGAGAAATGGATGAAAGCCATTGTTTTGTCGATCATAATGATCAGTACGATATTGGCGACGAACTGAAATCACATATTCGAAAATTGTCGAAAAAGGAATTTGTCAAATCTCACCCCCATGAAGGATACGTATCGATTACTGAACATGGAATACCAACTCGTTGGCTGAGTTATGATGTTTTGATCTTTAATTATGATTAATATATATATTATACTTATATGGTATATACCATCATTGGTTAAGGTTGTTTCCGTTCTTTCTGGGAATAGCTGATTCAAATCGGAATTGGCTTCTGCACTAGTTGAACCATAGTTAGAACCATCAGTAGCTTTTGCTGACCTGAACAATACATTTGATAAGAGGTGAGGAAATGAGAAAAACAATACATTTGTTGTTCATAATGAACTATATCGTAAGACATAGCTAATGAAACATAGGCATAGTTAACGTACGCATAAGTTAATAGGAATGGCATAGTTGAGAGAATGGCCAACTGAAACAAGGAAAAGAAAAAAATGAGAACAACCGCTCGGGCGTAATGAAAATTCAAAAATAAAACGAAACCTTGTTGAGATCAGCTAATAAAACAAAGAGTGAAGCGACTGTCATTAGTACGATAGAAGCCACAATTGGATTTGAGTTTGTTCCGGACTGGAAAAAAAAGAAGAAAATTAGTAGCAGTAGAGGTTTTTGAGAATAAAGGACAGAAAGAGAGAGAGGAGAGACTAACTCACAGCTTGAGCTAATGGATTAAGAGCTGGGATAATTCCTTCAGAAGCAATTCCTTGTAGAACCCTTGGCGTTCCTAACAAGCTACCAATGGTTGAAGACAATGAACACAGATAGAGTCCAAGTAAGAAGAACATCTTCGTCAACGACACTTTCTCCTCAATCAAATAATCGCATAGAAGGTAATATCGATCAGCTACTGATCCCAATATCAGAATCATAATGAAGCAGATGAACGAGCTGCAAAATCATTTTTTTTTCTTTTTGAACAAAAAAAAATCTCTGTGAGTACCTAACAGCTACAGCTGATAACTCTCCCAGGGGGATGCTCTTCTTTGGTTCTTTCAGATCTCCGCTCATGTTCACTCCTATGAAGAGAACGCTTTAATACAACAAAGCTCGAAGTCAACAACGAAAAATGTAAATGTGAAGCTTCATTACCTGCTAAGATTCCCAAGAAGTTTGCAAAGAACACACCAAAGACGGTAAAGAATGTCTGAGAAGGTATTTGTCGATCAATGCCGATGTTTGTGCAATTAACAGCATCATAATGAGGTTGACTATTCAGTTGAAGACGTGCAGATGAAACACGATATACACCATGCTCTGTAAAGAATTCTTCTTTTTCTTCTTTTTTTTATTTTCTGTCATCAAACCTTCATCTGATGTGAATAGAAATCCTAAGCCAAAATCCAACACTGCCATTGCCAGACAGAATAACATGAGAAGTTGTAAACGAACAACCCATAGCACACCAGCCGCATTAATTCCTAACAATATATTTTTCTTTTTTCTTTCATTCTTTCTCTTCCATCTTCTTCGATCTCTATCTTTCTTTTCTTTCTTATGTGTTGTGCATCCAAATATGGGAAAGATGGAGACGAATAATAGGAGCAACAAGTACCGGTTAAAGCTGCCAATGTGACGATGGCTATGAACTTCACGAAGACTTTACTTTCTGTTCCAAAAAAGTGTGCCAATGATTCACCCAGACCTACGGCTACCAATGCTGTCGCTACAGCCTTTAGAAAGACAACAAGGGATTACTACATATTGACAAAACACTCCTCTACCTGTCCCAGAGTATAGATTATGGCTACAGCCCCACCAATACGGCTTCCCAACACATGGGCAATCAACGAATACACACCTCCTCCCTAGATAGTAGTAAATAGAAAATGAAAGTCATATTTGGCTATCAACCTTAATCTGACATCGTTCAATTATACCAATAGCTGAGAAGACGGTTATCATGGAAAGTGTTGTGCAAATGGCCAATTGAAAGATAGCTTGATCCACTCCAGCTGTTCCCTTTAAAGGAAAATTCAGAATAAAAGAATCAAATGTGTTTCCTCCATTGCATTCCAAATAAGGGTAAGAGAAAGAGAGAGAGAGAGAAAGAGTTGAAGAGATCAAAAAACTTACAACAATCCATCCCATACGCAGAAAAATGATTATACCAAAGATGTTTACCATTACCGTAGCAAACACTCCATCCCAAGTTCCTAATCGGACTTTCTCATCATTCATGAGAGTTCTTTGAAAAATAGAATTGCATTATGAATGGTCAAAGAAGGCGTCCTACCTTTGCCACCAAGGTTTATCCTCGGGCACTTCCTGTGAATAAATGGAATCCATTGGTTCTTGCCCTGTCTCAACACCCGCCATTATCTTCAAAAAGAACAAATTTGAATATATGAAACATCTTTCATCACATATAATTTATTAAAATATATTGCAAATAACAAGATTGTAGCGATAATTAAGAGAAACTTGGGGCATGGAGACGCATGGCCCTAAGTCGGGCTTGAAAAACTGAGAATCGATATGGGACAACACAGCTTGTCCATATATGGAAAGGGCTCGGAAAGTAGGGAGGGTATCTAGAGAAAGAAGAAGAAAAGAAGCAGACAGATGGAGGACGAATAGGAAATAAAGGGTTTAGAGATGTAAGAGAGAGAGAGAGAAAGAGAGAGAGAGAAAAAGAAAGAGTAAAAGGGTTGTTAGTAGAGAAAATTTTGTAAAGAAGAGAACATGAACAAGCATAAGAAGAGCTAGAGAGAGAGGGAGTTAGCCAAACGGGTGTGAGTATAGAAGAAGAGAGAGAGAGAGAGATAGAGAGAATGAAAGAGAGACGAAAGGAGGGAAGTAAATTATATGAAAAATTCAATTGGATAGATGATTTTGCTTGAGTGAGCTCACAAAAAAATGATCGAAAAAAGTAAAAAAAAAAAAAATTTTTATTCAAATATGTTTTGTTCTGATAAAGACTGTCATATGGCTCTTACCGCGTGGTTCCTGATGATGTTATGGGTTTAATTAAAATAATTTTTTGTCCTTATTTGGATGTTGAGAGTTGTTAGAGATGTGTTTGAGCAATTGGTGATGATGGCGTTTGATGTTCAGCTATTCGACAGATAGATGATGGCCTTCTGAATGAATGTCGTTGTCTCATTCCTCCGCCTCCATACGGTAGCTGATAGCAAGAACATGAGCATATCTATATCAGTGGGGCTTTCATGATATCATTCTATGAAATTTTTCTCTTTACCGAAATGTTGTCTGGATGAATATGATTCTCATGTCCCAGTGAGTCGTAATCTTCGAAACTACCACAGTTTCGTCGATCATTCACTTGAACCAATCCACGGGCAGCTAGGAGAGCTTGCCTAGAAAAGGAAAATGTGAGAAATGGGAAGTGAACACGAGTTGCTCACTGTTCATCTCGCTTTTCATCTTCAGTATTCATTGTTAGGAAACGAAGAACGAGCAAATTCATGGCAGCAGAAATAACCGTCAAACCAAATAGAATGAAAACAAGGGAGAAAACAACGTATTCTGGACGATTCTGAAGAGCTCCCCCTTTTTGAAGAGCAACAAAGTCCCCAAAACCTTAAAGAGAGAATGTTTGTAGATATCTCGAGACTGATTCTGATTCAAGGTATATGCTTTTCATTTCATCGAAAACGAGTTGATGGTGAATATCTTGTCCCATGACACTCATCAACGCCTTTCATGCCGTATTCATCATGATACAAGTTAGAAGAAGTCAAAGAACTCACCGATAGTAGTCAATGTCGTAAAACAATAGTATAAGCTATTCAAATATGTCCAGTTCTCATATTGGGCAAAGGCTACAGCTCCAGCAACGATTATGAGCAATCCCCAAGCAGAAGCCACCTTGATCAAGTCTGATGATGTTACAGATGGGTCACGTCCAAGAGCCTGAAATAGAAAACCACATTAGAATCATAACTGTAAGAAGAAAAGAGTTGCTCCTTGAATGACAGTCCCAGAGGACAACTCAAATCCTTCAACTCAAATGCTCCCTCTTCATGCAAAAACCCTCTTCTCAGTTTTTTTCGCAAAACGTTATGGGTAGCAGTAGGTAAGTCAATCAAAGGGTATATGATTGTGTTGTTTAAGAAGTTCTCAAATTCCCTTTTGACGAAGTACATAGAGACTCGTAAGCATGGAGAACACATGGATAATAGGACTCGAAGGGTGAAACAATCAGATGACTGGGGGGTGTGTGCTTACCTTTTTAGCAAAACGAAGTAATTTTCCAGCAAATGTGTTCATACGTTCACCTTTAAAAGAACATTATGAGAAACATAAGTGATGATGTGTCTCCTACCTATACTCTGGAACATCACCAAGCCCAGCGGTATTCCAGCTAGAGCATAGAACATACAAAAGACTTTTCCACCCGTTGTCATAGGTGTACTATGACCATATCCTGAAAGAGCAAAGAGAGATAAACAACAACATAGATAATCAGAATTAGACCAATTGTTGTGATGACGGTTGTCGCAAAATAGAAAGCTCCACTGAATTTCCATTGAAATCCCGCTTTGTGTGGAACGCTCTTGATGATAACAGCCTGAACGAGTGAGAATGTTGAAGATGTGCTTGTTGTTGGGAGTCAAAGCAAAAGAACTACTATAACACAGTATAGACAAACCTCTAACACATCATAATCTCCTTCAGTCATATTATACTTGCTCATTAACGTCGTCTTCACTTTATGTACTAAGGCTCTCTATAACAGATTTAACTATATGCATAGTTATCGATTTAAAAACATTTTTACACAATTTCTTTGACGTCAACATATGGCATATGTTTTGTGTTTGGTTGGTAAAGCCTCTGTGTATGTGTTTGATAGAGAAAAGAATAAAATTATTTTACTTTTCTCTCTTTTTTGTAAATAAAAATGAAAAAAGGCTTATGTGGTACCTGCTGGAGTTCATTGTCAGATTCTAAGGCATCGAAAACGGCTGCTCCAACTAGGAGATAGGTAAGGGTACAGACAATAAGAGATAGAGTTCTAACATTTTGACGTTTCATAGAAAAGATATCTGTAATAGAAAGTATATGATAGTTAGATACAGAGAAAGAGAGAGTGTGCAAGAGAGAGAGAGAGAGAGAGATTTGATGAAAGTGAATCTAGAAGATCCCCCCCCCCTCTCTTTGCTCCTTAATCTCTTTAGTACGAATGTAAAGACGGAATAAGGTTGATGAACAAACTACAAGTGTAACCAAAAACTGTTTTGGTAACCACACTCACACAGGATGTGATATTAGCTTTCCAATATATAAATATAAAATGAAAAATAAAATGTTGTAGTTGCTGAGGAGAATGGAGATGGATCGAAAAATTAAGGGGCGAGAGAAGAATTCTGAAGAAGAAGAGTTGACTCGTATGAGCAAGTGAAGTGAGGAGAAGCAGCCAGTGATTGTTGGGTGTAAGAATGTCAAAACATAATATGAAATGGAGAGAGAGGATGAGATGGAAAGAGATAAAAGACACAGATTAGCTTTGGGGCATTTAAGCTTAAGAAAAAGTTTTTTACTCTCTGTTTAAGGAGTAGAGGATATAGAGAGAGAGAGAGCGATGATTGTAATGCAATGAGAGAGAGAGAGAGGGATAGAGAGAGAGAGATGGTTGATGAATTGTAGATACAGAGGGGTTTGTTGGAGTATTAATTTTCATAATTTGTATGCTTTCAATTCAATTTTTGAAATGTCGGACATTGTTGGTCGACGTTACGTTTTTCGTATTCTTGTTGTTGCCATATATGGAAGAAAACTTTATTCAAAGATAATTTACCTTCTTAAATTTGCATAAAAGCTATCATAAATTAGCATAAAGTTCTTTGAAGAAGGAAAACTATGTGTTGGAAGTTAACCCTATCAATAGGATTTCTTATTGTTCAAACATTCGATCAATTGATCGTCTCTTCCTCAGAAGACAGCTTAGTGGAGAAAATTCGCAATCATTCCATCCGTAGACTTCACGCTTCTCTGCTGTTGGCCAGACATAGTGCCCATTGAATGCTTGAGAGGCTGAAACTTCTGGAGATAGAGAGAGAGCTGCTCCCTGCAATAAGATAACATTTGACTTTTTGAACTAACTCCTGCTTATGCTGCTTATTAGTTAAAGAGTTCTATGGAGTCTGTAGTTTGCGAGTTTCATCTTCGCTTTGAGCTGTTTATTTATCGAACACCCATCGTTTCTTAACCTCCTACCCCTTACCCCTCTTTCAATATTAATTAACTTTCAACCTCATTACACTCATCATTCTTCTTCAAACGCACTTCTTTTCTCATTTTCAGTGAAAAATGTTAAAAATTATGATTTTTGACCTTTTTTCAAACATTTCTAAACATCTTGTACCATGAGACTTCCACACTTACCATATATAGTCCTTTGCTATGTTTGTTAGTTCATCTCTCTCTCTCTATCTCTCTCTCTCTATATATATAGAGATAACATTCTCTCTCGTACTTTATCCTCATGTTGTAGTTTGTGTCTCTTTATGTCATCTGTCAAAGTAGCTTCCCTGTTATCCAAATCTTACTTTGTAGTCGCTTCACACCTTTTTAGTCTTTTCAATTCAACCTGCATGCTGGAAAGAGGAAAAGAAACGAAAACATGTGAGAGTGTTGTATGAGTAAGAAGCAAAAGCATTCTTCATCAAATTCTTTGTTAATTCTTCTAAAATGTCAACGACGTCACATTAATAGAAGATCATTGATAGCTTATTGATGGCCATATACACATCTCCTGACATCGTTTCGTCTCACAACTTTAAGAAAACAAGTATGAAATTAGCATATTCTTGAGATTAACTATACGTTCTCATTTCATTAAATAATATTTTATTTGCATCATCAACTTTCCACAGCAACACTTTCATCAGTGTCGATGGAAACATTTCGTTTGATTCGTTTTTGGCCGTCGACGTCGTGTTCATTCAAAAACGCAATTTGTTCTCCAATTTTTCGTGTTTTATGACCATTTTTGGATGTCAAACATATTGCAAATTAAACAGAGATTTTTTTTTGAGAATATTTTAATTTTATTAAAAATCTGGTTGACTTACTTGAGATGAACGAGCAACTGCGACAGCTAGCACAAGACCAATGAATATGAAGAAGAATCTGAGAGGAGATGACATTCTGAAGTGATTGCAGTAAAGTAACGAATGTGCTCTGCCACTATTGCCCAAAGTTATTTACAGTTGAAATATACCAAATGTTCACACGCTCACTCACTCACACACGCGCGCGCAGACATACGCAAATGCATACATCACATACACACGTACACATGCACAGCACACTTACACCACATACATCCAGCACACGTACACACATACATACACGAAATGAACAAGACGACAGTAGAGGTTGATAGAGGAAACAAGAAATGTATAAAGAGAGAAGTAGCCTCAAGCACCAAGTATAATAAGGCCTCCTGTAGGCGGAGCTGGATTTGAAGCCTGAGCAAGCTCCTCCTGTTAAAGCTCCACCCATCGACACAACAAAAATGGAAATGATAAAATATTAGAAAATAACGTTCAAATGAGCTTCGTTAACAACCACATAAATATATTTAATGGAAATAAGGAAATTTTCTTGGAACACTTATGAACAGAGTGAATGATGAGATAAAAAGAGAAGGAGAAGTCGTAGTAGCTCAACCGTTCTTCACGTCACTTAACGCACATAATGAAAGTCACGTGAATTTTCCACGTGAAATTGGTAGACGGAGAGGAAGGAATTAGCATTCGCCACGTTACGTCATTTTCACGTAGCATATTGGAAGATGTTGTTTATGAATGACAAATTGAATGATCACTTAGTTCTTTATTTCAATATTAAAACTCTTCTTTCATGATAAATTCATATTAGAACATGCTGGCGGTGGGAATTGCTATAAATCGCTCAAATGAACAAAATCTTTGGAAAGGAAAGAAAAAAACTTATTTTTACCATTTGACATCTTTCATAAGAGTGTTTAGTAAGAGAGTTTTTCAAAGAAAAGGTCATTAACGGAATATTTACCGTTGGAGGGAGTTAGTTTCTAGCAAAAAGGAAAGAAATCCTTCTTTTTTTGACAAAAAAAAAGAAGAACAAAGTACAAAAAAATAAAAACCTTTATTAAATAAAGAGAGATTTTGATGTGACGGAATACTTACAAGATGAGTTGAAAGAATAAATGTAAAAGAAAAAAAAACATTTTTTACACACAAAATGATATTGGAGAAGAAGCTTTTTCAACAAATTCTTCTAAGTTTTCTTCTTTTTCTTTTTTTGTTCTTCTTCTGCTTCTTCTTTTACCAAACACGACATTTCTCTTTAGGATTCATTGGTGAACCAACAGGGCAATTGTAAGCTTTGGCAAAATCTTTTGAATTCGATAATGGCCCTTTAACTCTTAAAAGCAAGAAATAAAAAAAAGAAAAACCGATGGAATTAAAAGAATAACAGCTCCAACGAACAAACCTGATGGGTCCGGGAGAATGTTCGGAAGTTCGTAACTTACGAACAGCTTCTTTGTCATTCATTGTGCCACACCAAATCTGTAACAACGTGACTCTTATGCACGTGGTGACAAAGGTTCCGGTTACCTGAGCATAATTAAGGAAGAACAATTGATCATGAGTAAGATTGACTCCTGGTAATGATGGTGGAAGAGGATGGAGGTTCTCGTATTTCTTATAAGCTCTAAGTTTGAATACATTTGAAATTCATCAATTAAGCGAAAAGGAATTACTTGTAAGCCTGCTTCAATCCTCCATTGTCAGCGATGTTTTCTCCTTTGGTACTCCGTCCGTTTATTTTCATAGCTATTTGCTCTAATAAATACTCGCTGTATTGCTTCTCGATGCATTCGGCTTTCTCTTCAAACTTGGCAATGGTCACATTGTCCCACCATTGCCGAATGTTCCCGAGATTGTCATAGAGACGTCCTAAACATTGAAGTTCTTTGATCAGTTGCTGACTAGGTGATGATAACCTCGATCATCAAATCCGTGTGTGATTTCGTGCCCAATCACTACCCCGATTCCTCCGAAATTCATTGAAGACGGAAAATCTTTGCTGTAGAAGACAGGTTGGAGAATGCCAGCGGGAAAAACTAAACAAAAAAATAACAAAAACGTCGAGAAACTCGCGAAGCCACTAATCTCATTGGTATTTGGACTGTAGAATGCGTTGACAAGTGCAGCTCCTGCTACCCATCTAAAACATCTTATTAGACTAAAATGCATAGTAGACTCAGGAAATTTGCATATTTTGAAGAAAACCACCGACGGCCAATTATTATTTTCCGTTTCTTCTTTCTTTTTGTTTTTTAATAAACAACATGTCGTTTTTCAAATATTTTTTAGTTCTTTCTTCGTCTACGTCGTCGCCAAAATAAACTTTCCGGCCGAGCCAGTGCTGCTGCCGTTCAGGAATTTATTGTTTCTCGAACAAACTCCATGACACTGCTCCATTTAATTTATAAGGAGAATGTCCCAAAGACGGAAAGTGAAAAATTACCGAAATTTCCAAATCGAAAAGCTAAGGAGCTGACAACAGAAGCTCAATGATGGACATGCGGCATTAATCTTTGTCACCCGAACAATGAATTTTTCATAAAAAAGGAAGATTTCTCATTTTCCTTATAAGCAGGCAGTTAGCTCATCACTTCTCGATGTAACTTGCTTAATGAACTCAAATTCTTGGTTTCTAATAAGTTCAATTTGGGCTGTTAAAATGAATTTCAAAGTTCTCATTAGCAAATTTGACTAATTACGAGGGACGAGAAATGGAAGCTCGTTCTTGACGGATTAATAATGGTCTTCAGAAGGAAATGTTACCTTTCGCGATCGACTGGTTGAGAGATTCGTTCAAGTACATCACGCTGATACTGCTCGTAGAAATGGAACTTCGTTTTGTAATAACCACCCGGGTAGACCTGAGAATTCCAAAATGAGGGAGAATTTGGCAGAAAGGGAAGTACCTTGAACAGCGAATATTCTCGATCAACTGCTGCAGAATCGTTCAGATAGTCGGGGTATCCAATTTTCTGTTTCATTGTGTGAACCTTTTGCTTGGCATATTCCTTTGTTTCTTTGGTTAGCCAATCTTCGGATACTAATAAATCAACAAATGCCTCCATTATCAAGGAGATCATTTCTTCAACCTGTGAAAGCATATTGAGAAAGTTCAGAAGGATCAAGCTCACCTGTTGCTTTGCTTCATGATCAAAGTGATGTTGGACATATATGGAAGAAGTTGCCATAGGCATCAAGGAATTAATTCGAGTAACACAACCATGCCAGCGAACTTTTTGGACGTTCATGACTAGAACAGAGGGTATGTACAGTGAATATAGATTGAGACTTACGATTAAGAGTTTTGTAGAACTTGAAAATGGTCAATGCGAATGGATCGGGTAAATCCCTCAACATTGTTTTGAAGAACCAACACCATTCCAAGTAATTCACAATTCTTCTGAAAAATGGATAGTAGATGCAATTCCATGAACAGCTTCAAGATGGGAAAAAAAGAAATTACTGTTTGTGATAACGTGGGAGAAGCTGATCTAAACGACGAAGGAATTCAACTCCATAAACGACTACTTGCGTACTTTCATTAAAAACAATTGGACTACCATCCTAAACAAGAAAAATTATGTCGATATTCAAATCGTCATAGTAATAGCAACATCATAATAAAGCATAATTTACTTTATTTTTTATGTCCTTGAAGACATGGTTGAAGAACAGGAGCCAATCGAAATTTCTCAATTGGCGTCTCATGTCTCCCAAAGTCATTTTGGCATACAGTTCAGCGATGTCATGTCGTTGCTCATCAGCCATGGTAATCTGGAACAGGTTAAGGGTTGCAGAGATTTTCTGGACACTGTCCATCTCAAACATCATAAATCTTCCTCTCTCTCACACACTCTCGTAATTTGCAAAAATCTCTTTGTACGTTCTGACAACAGTGTTATCTAGAGCGCTTCAGTGTTTCGTATTCTCCTCATTCGAATTCTATTTTTTCAATTAATTTTATTCAAATTTTATTTTTTTCCTATCCTTATTCAAATTTCTTTTTATTTATTAATTTTATTCAAAACTCACATTGGCTAAAGCCGTCTCGAAGTCTATTATTTCCTCAGCATCTCTCATAGCTCGATTATTGGTCAGATTCGGATTTAAAAGTACAAGAACATCTCTGAAGTTGTTTGGTTTCAAACAAAATGCTTCAGGCGTTCATAATGATTTACCTGATTAATGTCAAGTACGCTAATCTTTCCTCTGTTTCGGCTAAAACATAGAAGTCTCGGGCGAACAAGTTCAATGCAGGTTGATCAATCTGAAAACAAACACAAGTTCTAGGCACTTCTCTAAGAACTTCAAAACATACCAGTAATACGTGACGCTCAGAGTTTTTGTCATCTGGCTGAACTGTAGCTTTGAATAAGGAATCTGCCCGGAATTTAGAAACCATATCTCCTGTACACATATGTTCTATCTCATTAGCATATTAATGCAATTACCGTATAGTCTCTCGATCGATACCGTATTCGGATTCATTGGATGACCTAAACTTGGCCATCCTCCAAATGACTCAATTACTTCATCAAAAGTTTTTCTCCAATTATCAAAAATTTCACCTGAAAGTACACGCCCACTTAATTAGCATAAACTCGAAGTACGCTTAATTTGCATAGAATATCGCGTAGCCTGCCACGTAACTCATTTTAGCGTGTGCAGACGCGGTGATCGGTTGTGCGAAAATTGTTTTTGCAAAAAATTTAATAAATTTCAATTTTTTTATCCTTTTTTCTTCCAGGAGAGAGTCAGGTGGAATGGAACAATGTTGAAAAGTCAGATGATGCAAGCAGCGACGGATGAAATGCTAGAGGTTGGTACACCTTGTGACGTGTAAATCTTTGAAGAGAAAAAAGAAGATGACGAAAAAAAAGATGAACTTTAAGTGCAAAAAATCTTTTTCGAAAAAAAAAATTAATTTCTTGTTCATCTTTTACTTCTTTTCTTTGTTGTTGCTAAAGTATGAGGAAATAATAGGATAGTAAATAAAAAAATGATAAATTGGAGTTATTAAATGATTGTACACACAGTTGTTTCCAGAATCTCGACATGTCATCCATCATTAAAAGAATTATATTACAATAAGAATTCTTCTTTTCTTCTTGTAATATATCATATTCATCTGCTTTTGTTTTATTAGAGGTTTGCGTTTTACAAGAGGTTTCGAGTCGAAAGATGGATAACAAAAAGGAGAACTCACTTTCATTCAGGCAGAGCTTATAGAAGTACTTGGCTTTACCAATTGCACTGGTCTCATAATCATATACTTCTTCTCGACCTATCTTCTCCTCAAGAAGTTCTGAAAAATGATCATAATTGGATGTTTGAAGGACTAATAGCAAGATATGCATTTCTCGTCGAGAGTAAATTGCGTACCTTTCAGAGCAAATTCTAAATCCTGCGATAAGTTCTCGAAATTTGAAACACTAGGCGCATCATCTGGTATGGGATGTCCCTTAACAGATAAGTATGAGTTTTATAATTTAAAAAATTGATTCAGATGAAATATAAGAAAGAAATTTACTTTAATCCATAGCCCGCATGCATACTCGTAGAAATCTATACATGGATCAACAGTAGCATTCATAGAGGATAAAATAACTGAGGCTGAACAGAAAGAAAATAATTTATAAAAATGAAAATTCAACCTGTTCGTATACATCCTGGTGTCATGCATACATCTGGCTCCTTTTTACTATTATATAAATATATTAAAGCTACGAATAAAGCTATACAAAGTAAAAAGAATAGGATGGCTAGAACGGTTACTGTACGTTCACGGGCAGCCATAGATGGCTTTGGATGGGCCAGAGTAAGGCCCCTGGATAGGAAACTTCACTCCAGCACTCAATTAGTAACGAATATGGGTATTGAAGACGGAATCGACTCGTCGATTATACTTGTAATCCTTTGCCAAATCAGTTTCGATGTTATTAATGAATTAACGTCTTCTAGAAATTGGGTGTTCAGGAAGCTGTGTTGCGTCAGTCTGACACCTGCAAAAACATTTAAATAAGGAAAGGAAAGAGTAAGAGAGAGGTTCAGATAGAGAGAGAGGGATGGGCAAGAGGTGGGAGGGAATGAAAAACGACATATTCAATCATTTGTAAAGACGAAAGAAGAAGTTGATGTAAATATCATAATTTAAGTTTGTTGTCTTTATCGTCTCTCCTCTCTCCTATTCTTCTCATACACAACTTTGGGTGGGTAGGAGAGGAAGAGACGAGACTCAAAGTTTTTTGTGTGTCTGTGTGTGTTCGTGTGAAAGACGATGATCATCTCGAAATATGAAGAATTTTCAGTAAATTTGAAAATTTTGTGTGAAATTCTTAAAATGAAAATGAAGGAATAGGTGGTGGGATGGTGTGGGGGGAGAAGAAGGCGACAAAGAAAAAATCGTAAATGAGAAAGGGAGGAAAAAAAGAAAGATGAAGGAAGGAACATCATATAATCAAAGAAGTTGATGGTAAAATGATTGGTTGCTCTTCGGAAAACTTTCAGCTTGGCTGCTAAGATGTGTTTCCAATTAATCGATTGCTTCTATCGACTAGCTGACTCTATGTAATGGCAGTGTAAGAAGTTTGAAGAAGTTCAATAAGAAGAAAAGAAAAATAAGATGAAAACATACTGTATTTAATAAGAAAATGGAGATGAAAAAGGATTTAGTGAGTTCAGAGAGAGATGCTCATAGAGATAAGCAGATGGGTGTTGAAACATTTTTGAAACAAAATCAACACACACACACACACGCTCATACACACACACACAGACAACATGCAATCGGATCTCCCAAGATGATTTAGTTTTTGGCGGTGACAAGATTTTCTCTTCTTTCTCGTTAGCTCACAGATTTTTTCTCCAACTTATTATAGGATGTTGTGACAATTTAATCAAACACAATGTTTTTCTTTCAGCAGATCAACCGAATGAGAGAGAGAGAGAGAGAGGGAGTGAGAGATGGGATGAACAGAGACGACCAAGTTTCTCTTCTACTTCGACACATCTTGCCTCACAACCAAATAAGGAGAAACACAACGTAACAAAGAGCAAAATGTTTAAAAAAAAGTAAACAAACGACTTCATGAGTGTTGTGAGATGATTCAAGAAAAACGAAAGGTAGAAGTTTCTATTTAGTGCCCTGTTGACAGTTGTCCGTCCCTCTTCAGCTGGCAACGTGCTCCATGCATGAGAGTACAAAAGACAAAAGAAGAAATAAATAAAGAGGAAAAGAATGTTAAAGGTGTGATCAATTAAAAGAATGAATGATATAGAGAGAGAGATAGAGGGAGATAGAGAGGGAGGATGAGGTAGATAGAGAGAGTGAGAGATGGAAGGATGATTGGCGATGTGAGAGAGAAGGAAAAATCTCATTAATCTTCAGAATTTTTTTTTTATAAATTTAAATGATAGTCGATATCTATCTTTATCAGCAGAAATGATTCTCCTATCTCTTCTCTCTGCTAATTTCCGTTATTTTTAGTTTTTGGAATATTATCCTTCGTCCATACACACAAAAAGGTTGGAGGAAACGAAAAAACGCCTCAATGGGAGTACTTGGCACGATTTATAGGAAACAGATGAGAATGAGTTGTGTTGGCGCGCTTGAGCAGAAGAGTTTCATTTTTCTTACACTTGCTGCCTAAATCTTCTTCTTTTAATATTTTCACATAAATTAACGAGATAACCCGCTTTGTGCTGTTTTAAAGCAGAATCCAAAAAAGGATCAAACGAAAATATGGAAAGAGTGAATATGTGAGGATGAGAAGAAGATTCCGAGGGCTGTGAAGCCAATTGTGCGACATAAACAAACGACAAGTCGTTGCACAGGGACCAAAAATGATATTATCGTGGCAGAATAAAATCTGTGTCTAAATTGAAGAAATGCTATAAATTTATGAGGAAAAGGGATAAAAAGTGAGTGAATGTGTGTATGTGTGTGTGTGTGTGTGATCGACGTGAAAAAAAAAAGAATGAGGAAGAGGAGCATTGTCGACGGATGCTCCTTTTTCTCGAGCAAGACGACACAAATCTGATGCTGCTGAAACAACTTGTAGTTGATTAGGCTCAGATAAACATAGAGACAACTAACTTAAAACGTGGAAAACAGAAATGATTGGGCTAGAAGGAGGCGAAGAAGAAAAAAATCTTTTTCTCTCTTTATTTTCTAAGAAATACAGAAAAACGGAAGAACATTTGAGTGAAATGACAAAGGGCAGAATTAATTTTAGGAGGTTCGGTTCGAAATAATTGAGTAGTTCCTCGAAATTATTAATTGAGAGATAAATTGGATTTGTCTTCAATGGGATAGCAGAGAGAGAGAGGGAGGGATAGAGAGAGATGAGAGACAGGAAATAAAGAAAGATACAAGTGAGAAACTCATTGGGGCATTGTAAGAAGAGCAGATGCCTCTAACAATCCGCGAACGACCAAAATGGAGATATCAGTTTTTAAGTTTGAAAAATAAGACGTGAAGTGAGATATGAGAAGTTCTATAATAGTCGCTTACAATTGGACTTAAAACAAATCTTATTGGAACCTGAGAACAATTGTCGTGAACTTCTTTGGACAGCTGCCAAGTGACTTTGTGCCATCAGTTGGAGACAACCTGCCAGCTTGAGAGATTGGAAGACAAGCAGAGAAATGGGTGAGCTATCTTGAAGCTCAAATGCAACATTCCCTCGGATCGCTTCGTCTACTTCACAGGAGTCAACTTTGATGAAGAGAGAGAGAGAGAGAGATCTAGAGAGAGAGAGAGAGAGAGAAGAAAGAAGAAATTAGAGGGAAAGGAGAGAAATATATTCAAAGTATTGTTTATTAGTCCTCGCACAGACTTCACATCTTGCACATCACCCCAAAAAGCTGAAGACAAAATAAGCAAAGGAGAAAAAAGTGTTCTCAGCCATATACAAGCGGTTAAGCTTTTCAGGAACTCACACAAGTCTTTTTACTTTTATTATTCAAATAAAGCTCACAAAGATGTTTTTGTATAACGTTTGCTACTTGTGTCCCTCTCTTCGTGGAAATTCTTGGGTCTTCAACAATCTTCTCAGGATGTCTTATTTAGAGATGAATATAAAAAAAAGTATTAAAAACTACATATTGATCATCTACCAATTATAGCTTAGCATCTATTTTGCATTAATTAGCTCCCATGACCACAAATCATATATTGCGAATAAGGATGTCCTAACTAAGAGACGAGCTTTTTTGCTTCGACTCTCCTTCTTCATCGTCTGCTACTCCTCCTCCTCCTCCTCCTTCTCAGTCGTCCACACATTCTCCGTCACTTTAACATATTGAGAACGAATAGAAGAACAATAAATAAACTTTTTATACGAAAATATGGTTTTGCATCAATGAACTTCACAAAGCTGACAGCGTGAAATGTCTATGAAAATCTCAACAAATTGATTAATTAAATGAAGAAATAAAATAATAATAAAAGACTTTCTGCACAATCGCTCTCACACGAAATCTCTTTGCAGCAACCATGTGTGTAGAGGGTCAATTGAAATGCGAACTGCGTAGTTAGTGAGTGTGGAACAGGATAATCACTTCATTACATCAGGCCAAATGGAGAAGCTTCTTTAATACTTTTTTTTCGTTAGGTATCGAGCATACAGTTATTATGAACTAGTCAATATGTGATCTTGCTGGTTACAACACTCATCATGATATAAACGTTCGGGAAAGTCTTTAGAAAAACGTTTTTCAACTGCTCACTTCCCGTTTTGCCCTTCTCTCACACTCACACTTTCTCTCTCTCTCTCTCCTCCCTCTATGCGAACTCTCATAACAATGTATGGTTTTCTGGAATTTTTGATCCACCTGAGCGATCCCAAATGAATTTGGGTGACTTCTCGTTTTTTTCACATAAAATCTGTAATTGGTTGTGTAAACGTTAGTGTACTAACAACAAAAATTACTTCTTTTAATGTTTTCCGGAAACTAGCGCCAAATATTAAATAACAATAGAAGTTGCATGTACCATTGATAACAACTAACAAATTCGACAAATCCACAAAATATACAAGAATGTTCTGAAATTATAAGTAAAGTACATGGCATCCATGCTGATTGGTTGATATTATCATTTGCGCGCCAAAAGGCACAGTTTGAAATTCATTCGTAGTTGTGCGTGCGCACGGAACGGTTGCATTCAACGGTAAGTTTAACTTTCTTTTTTTATTAACGTGTGCGTGTGAGGGTATCTGTCTGTGTGTGTGTGCCACGTTGCGCACGGGCAAATAAGTATTGCTGATGTTCATGTATTGCACATCCCCAATGCTTTTCTTATTTGATTTCCTGTTTTTTTTTGAATTTAATTCTTTCCGTCCGTATAGGGCTTAGCAGACGCGAAATGTTTTCTTACATCCACACGTGTCACATTAATTTCTTTTTTCAATTTTTAAGAAAAATTATGATTTCGAAATGAGTTGAAGATGAATGGAGAGATCTATTTCGTGCTTATGTTTTTAAACTCAAAATAGAAATTCGGTTTTTTGAATAATTTTTGTTTTTGCTTAACCTCAATTCGTCTTTTGAAATCTCAAAAAAAATGTTAGCCCACATGTGCTTCAATCCTATCTCTCAAAAGAGCCCTTCGATGAGAATGGAGTTGTGCAGAAATGAACTACGAAGCTATCATTTCCTTATTTGCGACAAAATTTCGAAATTACTTTTGAAAGAAGTTGATGAAAAAAACAATTAGAAATGGAGTCAGTGAAGCCCTCCATCGCATGAGATGCTAAGGCAATTCTATTGCGAAAATTTAGATAAAAAGGTTGGTTGGATAAAAAAGGAAATGAAAAAAAGTTGCGGTAAACAAGAAAGCAACTTACCGGATCATTCAGTATAATTTCCATAAAATTCACAAGTAGGGCAGTGAAGTTGCAGAAAATAAAGAAGAAAACGACAAGAATGAGACTAATTGTGTCGGAATCAACTTGAAATAGAAACGATTAGAGTATGCCGCTGACTACACTCTCTCTCTAGCTGCTCACCTCTTCCCCCGTCTGATTTTTTGGTAAGGACAGTGAAAACCACACATATGTTCAAGAGGATTAACAGCAGGAGTGGTCCTATAGCCAGGAAAGTTGTATACATATAAGTATAATAAATTGCATAATAAGCCGGGTCCAGCCTGATATCTGTAAAGAGCAAAATTCAGTTTCGCTAGAAGCTGTCCCTTCGTTCTGACCTGACGGACAAATTTGGGCGCTGAGTTTTCCATCATTTCCAATACAATCAACCTGGAACTAGACGTAAGAGAGAGCTCTTGTTGATTTATGACTAACTTTGTCAAGCTCGAGGACATGAGGGATGTTGTATAAGATACAGAATATCATGATACATGTGCATGTGACTTTGGCTCGCCTGAAATCAAGGAGATTCCCCAAGTTCTTGTGTATGAGAATATGAAAGAACAATCGGATGGATGCATTGTCTGCATATTTGTCATGTTTCTCGAAAATCAAATCAAATTATGGATATGATTCCATTTTTATTGAATTTGGGTAGGATTGATGAACAGAAGAGGGAGGACATGATTTTTAATCCGCAATCCGTATTTTTAGGAAGTTATTGTGAAAACTTCAATCTAAAGGTGCATGAATGACCATTGACATATACGGTTGTAGCTTTGTCCTTCCTAAGTTTCAGGGGGTTCAGAAGCCGTTTTCATTAGATGATCAGCGATCAGAAGTCAAACAAAGGAAGGACTTATATGGAAATTGGAAAAAAAGAGTCACTTACTTTGGTGTGCAGTACAGTTGACGTACAGAATCCGGCAGAACGACAGAGATGAAGCAATCCACCGCCGCTGCTACACAGAAATACACGGAGGATGTTTGGAATACAGCAGCTATGGGGAATATGAACGGAGCTCCAATAACGTATAGCCAAGCAAGAGCTGAAAGTTATCATAGTGGGATTATGAGCCGTAGGCTTCATTCGGCTGGGACGAACTTGGATAATTGTGATGTCGCCAAGCTTCCAACACAAATAAAAACATTGCTGTTAGTATGAGGAAGAAGTCAGAGAAAGCTAAAGCTGCTAGGTAAATTGAAGTTGAATGTATCTGAAATTGGATCAACTAGCTAATTCGAAAACAGAAGTATCCATTGTTTATTGCATCATGGAAATGATCAAGTATTTACCCGATGATCCTTGTGAGTATATACTCGTACAACAAGAAAGTTGGAAACTAAGCCGATGGTGCCTACGATGGCTAGTAGAACACCCGAAACTGTCAGGTTATATGTCTGAAACGAGGAGTTAGATACTCTCAACTCTCTATTACCTGATATTGAGGATCAGTTGAACCTAGGCAAGCATTACAATACATGATTCCAGGTGCTATTAATTCTCCCATTTTTTTCAAACTAACTGAAAATGATAAGCTGAGGGGGAAAAACTTCAAAATGAGAGTTCAAAGAGAGATTGTGCGCTTTATATGACATTTTCTATTCAATGAACTGAAAGACATGAATTGAATGGGATAGTGCTCAATTGAATACGGATATGGCCATTGGAAAATGTTCAATGCTACTACAGTCTATAGTCCACGGGTCAACTACGCTCGAATGATAACTGCGCGCCCTACCGCTAACGTAATTTTCAAACTTCTGAATTTTGAAATTTTAACTTTCAGCTTTTGCAGCTTTTAATTTCAGGGTTTGTGCTTTCTCATGTAATCACTAGTCTTCTTATAGATATGCAAAGATTTTGATACAAATGAATGAGAATAAAGAAAAAGAAGAGTCGGAATGCGTCGGTGAGAATACAGAAGAAGCCACTACGAGTAGAGCAGCAAAGCGAGAGCTCTCCAGTCCAGGCAAAGAGGTAAAGACTAAGTCTTATACTCTTAGAACTTAGTAGAATATGAAATTTATATGTTCTATATATGGTTTGAGGCTTCTAACATGCAATTACGACATCTTTTAGGTCGGTAGACCATCAAAGATCAAAAAGAAAGAAGCCAAAGAAGATAAAGTAGACGACGATTTCCCTATGAATGTTCCTTTTAAGGTAGTCAATGGTATGTTATGATGTCATAAGTCTATCAATTACATGCACAGTGTTTAAGGGGTTCGACATCTTTCTCCATATTGGGCAATGTACCGAACACGTACGAAAGGTAGATGGATTAATCGGAAGATGGTAGAGGTTTTCAGTCAAGAATTCCTCTCCACAAACAAGAATTATGCGGTTCGTTCTTTCATATCTTAATTGAAGCTCAAAGGAAATTGACTTTATAATATATATGAGATAAGTAGCATGTATGGAGAGTGGCTTATGTAAAAATCAAAAATAATTTTTGCTCTTAGCAGAAGTAGGAGAGAATTCGAAGATGTGAACATGACCCTGGAAATAAGACTTCAAGGAGCTATCTTAAAAGCATCTACAAATCATATCGCATCTTATTAAAGAGAATGCGTGGGGAAAGATGGCCGTGGGCTAATTATGAAAGAGAGCAAGAGCGAAGAGAACGAATTCTTCAGGCTTAGTCTCCAGATGACATTGAGATGAAGTGCTAAGCCTCTGAGTAAAAGTTTTCGTTATGTAATGACTAAACATGACGAGGGATTAGAAGCATATCATGCGAAGCTTGGAGAGATGAAGATTACAGAAGTTAAGTGGCATTAATGGACGACTTTAATGATCGTCGTGGTCCCAGAGTTTCTCCAGTTCCTTCAGGATTGTAGTTTGACAAACGATGAAGGGTTGCTGATTCGAGCAACGCTCTAATTATCTCAAAGAAAACATTTAAAACTAACTTCGAGAGAAATGCTCTTGCAGTAGCACATGTTCATTTGTAGTTTTTTTTCGGAAAACATGTGGATACGGAGAGAGAGAGAGGGAGAGAGAGAAAGAACGGAAAAGACAACAAACAGTAAATGAAACATGAGAAAGTCTCGAGGATGATGGTGCATAAATGGGGTATGGAAATGAGAGAATTATATAATTTAGTCGCAACAAGCTTCTAAGGTTCTACTTTGTAACTGCACGGAGCTCTTTCTTGTTTCTTTTCTCTTGTTCTCTCTCGTACTAACACACATCGCTAGACATTGAAAATAAAGGCGCTATGGTTTAGATTGATGAGAATTGAAGAGGTAAATAGCAAGCTGTCAAAGAGGTTAGGAAGATGAGAGGAACTGGAAATGAGAGTGCTGTGAAGGAGGGACGGTGTGTGTGTGCCAAACACGGCACGCATTCCCAATGAGCTAGCTAGCCAATTGAGATGCCAGGCTGTTCTTTGTCATTGAGGTCTTCTCATACTCTATCATAGAAATAGCTAATCAACCGATATGCCAACACACTGTCTTTTACTGTTTCTCCTCTCAATGATGATGATGATGATCATGCGATACTTTGATCTGGGGGATTATAGGGGTGATGTCTTGTGCAGAAAAGCGGAAGTCGGAAAGAGCGAAAGTTAGTTATCTACTCAACTTGTGCACAAAAGCAAAAAAGGGTTTGAGAAATATCGTCGTCGTGAGGGATGAGAAAGCTTGCTTTTGCGTTCGTAAAACTTTCAAGCCTCTTTCAGGTGGTAGCATGCAAACTCGGAAGAATTAGTGTCAACGGAAAACAAATAACAGACGTGAACTATATTTTCAAAAATGGCGACAGAATCGAGCATTGGGGACATAGACATGAACATCCAGTAAGTTGTTTCTATCTTTTGTATCTTAATGAAAAAAGAAAGGAAGAAGTAGAAGTAGAGAACGAACTGCAGAGCTTCTGAAGCGAGAATATGCATGAACAATAATAGAAGATGACATGAGAAGCTCTTCGGCAATAATCATATCTGTCTTGAATTTATTTCTCACATCCACAAAGAATTTTGTCCTAATCCGACTAGATTTGCTATTAGCCTAAACTTTACTCAAGTTCTCAATGAGTGTCAGAGATGAGGATATTTTTAATACAAAAAATAATGCTGGGAGAGAATGTTTTGTTGTTAAGGTTAAGGACTACGCTATCGAAGTGATTGCGGAGACGGAAGATCTGCTTGTGGTTAACAAGCCGCCATCTTTACCCGTACACGCATGTGGACAATATTCCATCCACACAGTCTTGGGACAATTGCGAGTTCATCATGGAAGGACGAATTTGCGAGGTATGTCCGATGAAGGAAAGAGAATATGTCGCATGTCTTCATAGCTTTTTAAATTCGGAAATTCTATACTTTGATTGCTTCAATTTCTCATTTCAGTCCTTCATAGATTAGATCGAGCTACATCAGGTGTTCTGTTGTTTGCCAAAAACTACGAAACAGATCTCGAAGTAAGTTGAAGAGATTTGTTGTTTTGAGGCATCTTTTGAGGTCCTCGTTTCTAATCACATGTGACAGTTCCTTGTCCTTCCCAATAAGCTCAGCTTTTAAGAAAGATAAGGAATTGTTCAGTTATCTGTTTGTTCGTGAATTTCCTCGCAAACAACAATCTCTTTCATCGAAGACGCATGAAATGTGTGAAACGAATACTTGTCTCGACGTTCATACCCTCATATTTCAGTTCAAGCAAACTTTGAAGCTTGGAGAATGGCGAAAGGAGTACGTTTGCAAAGTCGCAGGGGTTTTCCCAGAGTAAGTTATAACTTAATTATCTGGTAGCATAGTTAGGCTGAGGCAGCATATGAGGTTTTCTCCGCAAATTGCTTGTCATCTCGAGATCTTTTTTTAATTTCCTTCATTCTCATGAAGAGATTCAAGTTTTCCAGAATGACGAATAAGTCAAAACAAGTTGATGTCTTAGACAGAGCAGAACGTATGGTTTTGTGAGAGAATTGAGTTATGGCACTAGTTGCTCGTCAATTAGAGTTCTAAAACTATTCCAAAAGTTTTCGACTTGCACTCGGACATTTTCGAATAGCGTTTCAATGTTTAGGCTCATTTCGCTACTATTACAATCCTATCAAATAGTTTCGAAAGCCTCGAGGTCTGTCGTCATCATGGCAGACCACTAATACTCCAAGCTTGTACACTTCCAACCAGTAGTTTGTGACGAAACAAACTGGACTATATACTCCAGTCTTAATCTTGTTGAAGATATAGAGTGCACATCAATCGATGAGTGAGAAGGAGGGTGTGGGGGGTGGAATAAGACTTTCTATTTTAATTACAGGAAGTCGTTTTGAAAATAATGTATGATCATCTGACTTCTATGGCCTTTTTTCCAGAGGTGAAGTTGTTTGCGAAGCGCCGATTGGAACTTTAGTCATTAGTATGGGCATCCAATGTGTTCGGGACGATGGGAAATCTGCGAAAAGTGTGTTCAAACGGTAACAACACACTTTTCGCCTTATTCTTTTTTTATCTAACAGATTATGGACTGACGGCCAAACATCAGTTTGTTCAGTTCTGATTGAAACCGGTAGAACTCATCAAATACGTGTACATGCTCAATACCTAGGTTCAATTTTTTTCTGGCATCTGTCTCAGTCATCATTTCAGGACACCCTATTGTGGGGGATCAATTATACAATACCGACGTTTGGGGGCCAAACAAAGGCAAAAACGGAGAGTATGGAAAAGGATACGATCAGGTTTGTCCAGCAGTGTTCAAAGTATTTCCTTACATAGTAGTTTCAGTTGTGTGAAGATGTGCGAAACGCTCACAAAGCCTCTTCTTGGCATGAGACCGTTGATCCGGACTATGAAGCTAGAATGGAAAGAATGGCATCCGAAGATGTAGGCATAGTTTTCTCTCGATAGCTGAAAGTCTTTCCAGTTAACGCCGGAGCCAGCCGGATTAAGGCCAGAAGATCGACCAAGCTATGATGAAGTGTGTTTGAATTGTAATGTGACTAAGAAGGAGGTTCGCTCATTAGCATATTGGAATGATGTGAATTTCCTTTTTTAGGTACCTGCTGGACACTTTCAACTCTTTTTGCATTGTTTGCGATATGAAACGACCAAATGGTCTTATGAAACAGAGATGCCAGAATGGGCGAGAGAGAATTGTTGAGAACTTATTTATTTGTTGATTTTTATTGTTGGCAATGTTGAATATAGATTGGAAAATTAAAATGCAACCTAGGGTCTTTTCCGGTGCAATATCTGACAAGACAACGATATACTAATACTACGGCTTTCAAAGCACAGCTTTTGAATTCTTCAGACCTCAGCAAAGAGTTTCTGCACGTCCAAGAACACCTGTGATGGAACAATGTGTGATATGAGTGGAATTTGATAATCTTACTTTTTCAGGAGATTCCGTGCTTGGCACCTGTCTCACTAATCCTAATCCAGTATAGTGCTCAATGATTGGCAGAGTTTGTGTGTTGTAGGTAGTCACTCTCTTACGAAGAGATTCTTCATTATCATCAGTTCTACCTTCCCCTGAAGAATTGATTAGAATTCGAATGAACTTTTGGAAAAGGTACCTCTGTGGAGACAACGGTCGATACATGTATTAACTGGGCAAGATAAGAACAAGACGAATTTGACGTCAACCTGGAAGAAACATTTCGTAGTTTTTTGTTATCAGCAGAGGTAGAACCTACAACCATCACCCCATCATGTTGACAGAAAGCAATGATCATAGATATCGAAGGCTTCACTCACCTTGCCTTGCATTTGACGCTCCCATCCTTCCAGGTTGTCTTGGTTTCTTGGGAAGCCGTCGACTAAGAATCCTCGAGCATCTCCACTAGCATTCATGGCCTATAATTGGCACATCGACTAAACGGAAACCTATTTTTAGCCCTCAACTGATAAAAAATTTGGAAATAGAAAAAACGGACAAAAGAATAACTTTTTCAGTTCTTCCGACTCACTTATCGTTTTATACTTTCAAAAGATAAACTAGTCTTCCACGATAAGGTGATAAGGCTTATATCCACATAGATTTGATCAGATTGAAACTCACATTCTCTAGAAGTTTGCACGTGATCTCCACAGGTACGATAGAACCATTCGTGATGTGTTGTTCAATTAATGCACCAAATTCAGAGCCTTCTCGTTGTCTCTCTTCACGTAACAAGTCTCCAGCTGACAAATGGACAAAACCTAAGTCCTACAAACAATTAATGAGGATAAGAGGAAGAAAGATGAGATGAACCTCGTGAATCTTCTTGCACTGAGTACCCTTTCCAGAACCTGGAGGTCCGAGTACAAAAACTACCTTGAAGAGTTCCTTAGACATTGCACTAAGATGACGGAAAGAAGAGGCTGGAACAAGGAAAGGTCAGAACTTCAGCTAACCTCAGATTGAGTTATCATAAAAACAAGGAAATGAGAAAAACCAACATAACGAAATGGTTGAAACCGGGAGAAATAGTCAAACCAAACGGTCGGATAGTGAGACTGAAAATATAGTTTGTATCAGTGACACAGTCCATACTCCGCCCATATCTAACAAGAAATACAGCGAGAGAGACAAAACCATATTGAACAGATTATAAGGGAAGATAAAAGAACGTTACAAATCATGTATAGCAAGAGATGAGCATTATCTGCGCTAAATCTCTAATTGGTGTGTACGAATTTTCCTCTTCCCAGAGTTGCAAATTGTCGTGTCAAAAGCAAAAACTTGATCTTTAGGGCCAAGAAAGCACCGAGATTAAACAAAAGTGCATCACTCTAAAAAAAAACAAAGAGTCATCAAAGAGTATTGAAGTAGTCTAGAGATACAACCGTTCTATGAGTCTTGCAAGACGGACAAGAGGAAATTTGACTTTCCTGTTGCCTTGCCCGCAGTTCAATAATCTCGCTCGTACTAAACTATTAGCGCGAAATCAATGCTTGATTACTTTTGGAACACGCTCTGTTGGACGTCAGAAAAAAAAGGTTAAACACACGAAAAAAAAAACTTAAACTCTGCGAGTAGTGATTACCTATCGACCGATAAAAGAAGATAAGAGAAAACGTATGAAGTTATGAAAAAAGGGAGGCTCGATAGTAATGGACTCCGACCAATCCATAAAGAATACAACAGATTGTGAAAAACTTTAGTTCGTACATAAACATATCAATCGGAATAAGTAATGTAAAACGTTTTAGGTATTAACGAGTAGGCTTAAAATCTTTTAGTTTGAAAAACCACCTAAATATATAAGTTATAAGAAAAATGGAAACTAATCTATACACTTGTGATGATGATACTCATCTCAGACTAAATTTCATGAACCGATTAAAATGAATGAGATCAGCAATTCAGTCAGCAAACAATCCTGGTTTGCTAAAATCCATCTTCGTCGGGATTCAGTTTTCCTTTGAATTTCTCTACAGGTTTGTCTAATTCGGCAGCTTCCTTCTCCTCTAGTCTTTGTAACTCTTCAGGGGTTACCTAAAAAGAAAGCAGGAACTTAAAGATTTCGACAGATGCACTCACTTGTATACATGGATTTGGAACAGACTCGTCAAGTTCTCCAGCCAGTTCAACATTTTCACCTCGAATCAACAGAAAGCCTTGGTCGATGTCACAAAAATGTTTTCCAACGAATGTTCGTTCCACAACATCTTCCAAAATTAAGTTTGCAAATTGGTCAATTGATCTGAAATTCGGGGAAACGAATTTATAACAAGGGAAACTTGAAAATATACCTCAAATAGCCTATGAGTTTCCTACCATCACGTAAAACAACTACAAGTTTCTTGTCTAATTGCTCGAATAGACTTATAGCTCCTGGCAAATATGGATCAGGCAAATCCATTGATTCACAATTAAGATTCTTTAAAATGTTGGCAAACGTGCGACGCCTATGGAGTGTGCAAGTGTAACACACTTGAAGGCCGGTATAATTGGTCCCGTCACGCGCGCAACCTACCGTAAAACATCTCCTCGCAGCACTGCTGAAGCTCGTCTTTGAAAATTTTTTGGGAATTGATGTATTGTTTGGTAGTATTTGTATGTGTTTTTTCTGTTAAAATTATTTTCCGTTTCGTTAATATAATTCTCTAATCACCCATCCTTCTTAAAATCAGTTTTGTAATCGTCTTCGGCTTTAAGGGTTAAACATGACTCGTCTGTTGACGGTGCAGTCTAAGGTCGCCAGATCTCCTCGTCGCCCATACGAGAAGGAACGTCTCGATCAGGTATTTATTAAACTATAAAGTGTTTATTGTAGTTGTTATATTAACAGGAATTGAAATTGATCGGAGAATTCGGTCTTAAGAACAAGAGAGAGGTATGGCGTGTCAAGTACACCCTTGCCAAGGTCCGTAAGGCTGCTCGTGAGCTTCTCACTTTGGAAGCCAAAGACCCCAAGCGTCTTTTCGAAGGAAACGCTCTTCTCCGTCGTCTCGTCCGCATCGGAGTATTGCCAGAGGATAAGATGAAGCTCGATTACGTTCTCGGATTGAGTGTTGAGGATTTCCTCGAGAGACGTCTCCAAACCCAAGTCTTCAAGTTGGGACTTGCCAAGTCTATCCACCACGCCCGTGTTCTCATCAGACAACACCACATCAGGTAAGCATTGATTGATAATAGTTGTGCCTAATTATTGTTTTCAAGAGTTCGTCGTCAAATCGTTGATGTCCCATCTTTCATCGTTCGTTTGGACTCCCAGAAGCACATTGACTTCTCTCTCACTTCTCCATTCGGAGGTGGACGTCCCGGTCGCGTTAAGAGACGTAACGCCAAGAAGGCTGCCGATGCTGGAGGCTCCGGAGATGAAGAGTAATTGTTTTTGTTACGAAGTAAACTGTTATTACATATATCTTTATTTCTAATTGATACAGTGAAGAGATAGGGATATAAGAGAGGATGGGTATGGTACAGTCATCAGTTTTTTTCTTTCTTCTTCTTTCCTTTGATAGATTTGATGAACGGGGCTAGAGAAACGGCAGAACATATCCTGTCCGTGGAAGCTGACCTTTGGCTTCTGAATAAGTGAACTGTTTAATTCGTGTACTTTAGAGAGCTATTACTTTTGCAACCTGTCCAAATCACTTAAGTCCGTCTCTTCCGCCCTTGTGTTTGAAACTAATGAGTATGTTGATCTGTATACGCTTTTATCTAGAAATTGACAGGGTAACCATAGAAGATCTGTTAGTGAGGGGTACCTTGTACATTTAGTCGAGCTAGCTCTTCATCAAGAGTTTTGAATGATTCCACCACGGGACTTTTAATTTCATCTTCCATTCGTTGGGCGAATGATCTCAACAACAACTCTTCCCAGAGTTTATTTGGCTCTGATTGCTGAAAATAGATATTGCATTTTTTCCTTTTAACATAATGTTTGTTTTCATAACAGCTATGTATTGTGGAGAGAAAACACCTTTTGATGATGTTTTATTTTGTTTTCGATTGTGTTCTAGGAAGGTTTATTTACCTCGTCTGTTAAACCATCAGTAATCTTCCTTCCATCTTCTGTATATTGCACTTTTTTCCTGTGCGCCGTGAATAAGGGTCTGTATGAAGGAGTTCTCTTAGTTGGTGTACGTGGAACTGAAATGAACAGGTTATTTCAGCTCAGAGAATTAGAAGGCAATCAACCGCTCGCGACAGATTTGAATTCAAAATGAGGTTTAGTGAACACGTGTCTCACGTGGGAATAATCGAGCACTTACTTGATGAGTCGCTTTCAGCTCGGTTCCGCAGAGTATCAGGGCGGCTGGGTGACGCATAAAAGTCGAGAGGGCTCTCGCATGGAACATTTACCATACCAATCATGGTTTGGATTTTTTCTAAAAATAAGTTTATTTGTTCTGTTATAGCAATATTCAGGTGAGAACATAGAAGTTAGGGAAGAAACAAGGCTTAAGTATAATTCAGAAATTTCACTTTCATCACAATAAGAACAGAATTTCTTGCTCATCAGCGAGACTATCAAAATCAAAAAGACCATTGATAAAAAGCTTTCAATGGCTTAAGGTGCGAAGACCTAGAATAGTACTCTAGTGAACTGCAGAGACACCTTTAGTATTTTGACAGGAGGCGTGGTCAAAGGAGGAGCAAAATGATTCGTCATCGTGCTTACCGAAAGTTGAGAGGAGAAGAGGTATCAATTCACAAACAAATACAGGCAACCAGACGTTTTTTCTTCAGAAACAGAATAAGCGAAGAAAGTAAGTGTGAAGATTGTTCGTCTTAATAGGAATAGACGACAAACTAACGATAAGAGACTTAATGCGTTCAAGAGTTTGCCATAGGTGAGCACATATAGGTAAAACTTTCGAAGTTATTATTAAGCAACGTCATTTGTGGAAACAATAAGTCTGAGGAAGAGATAGTAGAATCCGAGGGCCGATCAAGACCTCGAAGATAATGTAATCAAACTAATGATTTCATAATCCATAATCTTCATTGGTTTTTTGGGAACACAATCATGATGTCACTCCATTCACTAATTGCTTACAATTGCAGTTTTCATACAATTTTGGTTGAAAAAGGTAAAAACCGTTGCGCAATGGAACGTTATAACGTTTAAGTAGCTATCAGTGAAGTGTTGTCTCATGTTGTAGACTATTAAATCAGTTAATATCTGGTCACAATGGCTTTCAGACTTTTTATGTTCTCAAAGATAACATGGAAAAACAGAGAAACTGTGAAAAAGGAGTGTGTGAATCAGAATTTATCGATACTACAGAAAGGATGATATGATGGAAGAATGAAGGTGCGTATGGGTTAAAGGAACTTTATATAGGTTTCTATATTTGCAGAGGCGAGAGGTCGTATGCTCATGGGTCGCGTTCACTTTGGTAAAAACGGTGATGCGGTTTGTATTTTCATGGCTGTCAAAAGGATTTAACAATTTGGGGCCGTAATAATGACCGAAGTTGTGATATCAAGTCATGTTTGCTTTAGGAAGAAAGTATTTGCATGCGCATCTTCTTTCTACTGCAGCAAGATGTGTGGGAGAAACAGAATATGGAGTCATATAGAAGGCAATACGAGGATGACAGATAACGACAATAATTTTTTATTTTTTGTAGGATTGGTAAACGCCCACTGCCGTATTTGTACGAACCGTTTCAGCTCTCTCTATAGTTGACGCCCATATCACATCAATGAGCTTCATCATCGGTGAAGCATAAACCCTTGCTTCCGAGTGAGTATGAGAACCTATTTCATGGTTAACGATCAGATTGCATTATCAGGTGTGAGTTCTTTAGAAGAAAAGATGAGAATTACATTGGTAAAATTTTTTGAAAAGATTGAACTGACGTGGGGGAAGTCGGCTGTGGTCAACGTCATACGATAATCCGAAATTAATCTTCAATGACATCACTTGCAGTGCAAAAAGATGACTAAAATAGAGGTAGGTCGAGGTGGATTTGCAAATAATCTGTCTTATTCATTATAATGGACAGCAGCAGATAATCTATTCTATTCATGAGCACCTGATGCAGATAGGTTGCTGCATTTAACAAGTCGTCATTCTGTCTAGCTCTATTTTCTTACAGTTTTTGTTACAGAAGCTACGCTCGTTCTTCAATCAACAAAAGTGAGACATCGATGTTGCAACGTAAATTTGTTCCTGGGCTGGGAAGAGGGAAGCATAGCGATATACAGAATCAAACATTAACCAGATAGATGGTGGGGTTGACAGTTTGAATTCCAAGGAAGTTCATTGGGACAGTATGTTTTCACCGAAATTTTAGTGTTTTCTTTCATTTTTCATTTAGCTTTCCTCTCTTTCACAATAGAAGTGCGTATTTGTTGGTGAAGAACAAGGACATCACATTAATACCCACGAATATGAGGAGGAGGTGTAGGTGTTTAAAAAACTCCAGGATCCTGTTCCTGTCTTTCAGCAAGGCTGTTTATCTAGGATGAATATTAATGGTCCGACACCTCTGTCCGTAAACAAGATTATTTTCCATGAGTCATTTCCATGTTCCGTGAGTATCGAAAAATGAAACATTGTCCCTCGAAATTGTTTTTCTTTAGACTCGAGCCGGAGCGGGCTACTACTGGACAAGATGTTTGTTTTAGGTGTTAACACTGAAACTAGATGCGAAAAGGAAGAGTTCATTTACGAATTTTGAAATTGCATATGTCATCATACGACCGTTTCGTGCTAATTCGACCAAGAACCGTACAGAAACCTCTTTTTCTGTTTTCCGAAAAATCGAGCAGCGTGACGGGTATAACCTTGCAAGTTTTGTAAGAGTGGAATCAACAACCGTTCTGAGCGTTCTCACGTTGCAAAATGACGCTTAATCCGTGTGCGTGATTCTCACGTGTTTCACGCACTTGACGTATTCCACGTAAACGTTTCGATTGATACTGTTTCGAAAAAGTATTGATCTCACACAGTCTCTCTACAATATTATATGAAACGAAAATGCAACTATATTAGCTGCTCTAAGCAAACGGTTCATATTATATTGGTGAAGATTGACGAAGTGAGTGTGATGATGACGGCTATGAGTCATGTCCAGAATCTATTGTGTTTATTCGGCTCGTCACACTCTACCGGGTCAGAATTAACACACACTGACTCAATACCTCCATTCAAACAGATTCGAAACGTTAACGTGACGACATAATGAGCAAGAGCTCAGCTCATGAAAACTATTGATGAGCAGTTGCCTGTCTTGTCAGCATGTCCTTGTCGGTAGCTGGTTTTTGTACAATGGCCACACTAATAACTCTTTGCACTCGATAGTATTGCAGATTGCGGCCGGAAGTATTGCGAAAAAGTGTTTTCCAGAAAACGCATGACGTGATAGTCAGTTCAAACATGAACATTCTCACATCTTCCTTGACACCTTCAAAGAGTTAGATAATGACGTAAAGAACTGCCGCTGATAAGATATTTTGCATTCTTTAGCATCTTTCTATTCATAACTATTCAAAAACAAATAGTTTACCAAATATAGACTTGTTATGTAGAAGCCTTTATTACTCTCAAAAGCTGTCAAGTATATTTACACCATATTGAAATAAATATCACCAGAACCCAGTACATCACAGAATATATATTATATTAACATTTCAGAAAGCTTATGCGTAACAAGAACTAAACGGAATTCGACTTAGGGGAATCACCACCATCGGCCTTGTTCACTATTTCTGTTGAGTTAGTTGGATTATCTATTACCGTGTCATTTGAGGAAACACCCGAGACTTCCGTTGTTACAACGGTAGCATTCTGCAGAAAAGGATTGCGGTTGCTGCCGAACTCTTAACTTACTGATACTTTTTCTGGTTCTAAGGCTGTTACATTCGCTACGTCTATACTGGCTGGAGACACGTGCGTGTCATTGATAATACTTGGTAAAGTTGGTTCTTCATTCATTCTCACCTAAACCTGGAAAATTTAGCTTGTTTGACTCAATCTATAACCTGGCTTGGTACACCACCACCACTACTACCGATACTGACCTCAGATGGACTTTTCATTGGATGAACAGCATCGAAGAAGAACTCCTAAAGAACTCAATGATAAGTCGGCAATACTGGTGGCATTGATTATACCTTGAAAGCGAAGGCCAGCAGAAAATGAACGAAGAGGATTGTGAAGACGCTTCCAAACGCTATCTGTAAGCGAAGTCTCGTAATACCCGGTTAGTTTAAGCGACTCACTATTCGATTCGAATCATTTTTGAAAGCAGGGTATATAGCTTTAGCTAAAACTCCACCACTCAATGACACAGCAACGAAGATCAGTACCCATCGGAGCCAGTTAATGTTCAGCACCCACAGTAACTACAAAACGGCTGATATATAGGTATAAGATATAGTAGGTGTTACCGAGACTGGAATGAAAACAGATAAGCTGTAACCGAATGCACAAAGCAAGTCGGCATAAAGGAATACGACGTCGGATTTTCTTTGCCATAGAACAGCAAAGACGATCAGGGGCATGAAGACCACATAAGTGAAAATAAGAGATGCAGCGGTTGTTACTAGAAAGAACGTGAGATTGTAGTACTTCCGAGGGCTCGAACCTAGTCTGAAGTCACTTCCGTATTCACCAGTTTTACCATCATTTTCGATGTACTGGGCTATGTTTCCAAAGATACCGATTGAAAAAATCAGAGTTATCGAAATCCACAGTGGTCCTTAACAAGAGGTGTTATCAGAGAATGACATTTGGAAATAACCCCAAAGATCAGGAGCAGGCTGAACAAAGTCCAAAATGAAGTTGTTTCCTGTCGGCACAACACTATTCATCAACCGTTTCACAACCTTAATCAATGATCAATGCCAAACTGACAAGCTAAGTATCCTACCTGATCAGTTTCAACATCAAAGTACTGCTGGAAGTATGAAAATGAGAAAATGCTCTTTTTACCAGAGTTAAGAATATCTGAATCATCTACTAGCTGGAAGAATTTTATTAAAATTGTTTCGTAATCCAAGAAATCACCGATTCTCGAGGCCGATCTCCTATACTACCTGAAAAGGTGCTGGACTGTTCACTGTTAGGATTAATGGAGAAGCCATCTTGGAAAGCTGAAAACCTAGATATAGTCAATCTAAACTTGCATAGAACTTACGGTGAAATTCCAAGTTAGCCATATCTGATTAGAGTTAGGTTTCCTGGAAATGAGAATTAGGAATATCTTGACAAAGCATAAGTATGAAAGGGTATGCAACCCGGAAAGAAAGAATACAAATTGGAGATTCACTCGTATAAACAACAAAATCAACAACCTTACTCGTAATAAAACAATTTCCAAAATAAATACATACTACGAATTTACAAGCACATTACTTGGTTTACGTTCATCTCCTTCTTTCTCTAGAACGACTTCTTCTTCTTTCTTCACGATCCCTTTTCCTCTCCCGAGAACGAGTTCGACTACGCTTACGGTCACGAGATCTGAGAAGCACGTAATGAGATGTAGACGTAATGAGAAACATTCGTGGTACACTTACCTGTCCCTTCGTTCTCGGCTTCTCCTTTTTTCACGAGATCTACTACGTCTACGCTCTCTAGAACGACTACGCTTCCTATCTCGAGATCTACTTCTTTTCCTATCTTTGGACTGCGATCGTCTTCTATGTCTATCATCACGTTCTCTTGAATGATCATAAATAAGCTAGATAATATTAGAATCTTACCTATCACGTTCTCGAGAAGACTTGTGAACTTTGCCTCGATCTCTACCACGATCATGCTCTTTCTCTTTTTCACATTCACTCTCTTCACATGAGCATTCTCCTCCAGAGCATGAGCAGGAACAACTTAAATTCACGTTAGTTCGAGTAGAACGTGATATCAACTTACTCGCTTTCCTCAATTTTTTTTGGCTTAACTGTTTCTATTTTTCTTTCTATGAGATCAGGATCAGCTGTGAGATCATATTTACCCAAATCATCCTCATCATCTTCATCTTCTTCCTGAACTGAAGAATTACGAAACTACAAAATGGTATAACTGCACCTCATCTTCTGCTTCATCGTCCAATTTATACTTTGATAAGTTCTCTTCAATGAGTTCACCGTCATCATCTTCATCATCATCCTCATTGTCTGAACCATCAGGGGAATTTTTCCCTCTACCCTGAGAATTGAGAAGTACTGCTGCGAATACTTCAGCTCTTTTACCTCAGATACTCGTTTTTTCTTCCGACCGAACTCGTCGAACTCTTCATCATAATCTCTTTTCACATACTCGACGTCTTGCCTATCCATATATCCTCCTCCATAACCTGAAAACGAAGAACATATTTATATCTGCACGGTTGATGACACATACCAGTTCTTTTCTCGAGATCAGCTAGTTTTGGAGCATTACACACGTTACACGATTTCCTCCTAGCCCAATTAACATTACCACATCTTATTTAATCAACATTGAATCGATAGCAAAAAAAACCAACTCACTTTGAACACACCCAGTCTTCAGCAGCAAACAAACCTTTGGACTTCTCGGCCATTTCCTTACCGATTTCTTTGCCTACACGGCTTTTAGCCGCTGGTTTATCTATACAATACAATAAAGCTTTCTTACTTTAACTTTGAGCTTACATTTTCCACATCCTTCACAATGAGTGATACGTTCTGCATTAACTTGGGCGCATTTGGCATCTGGACAAGCCCACTCTCCATCTTTCAGGGCTCGTCTTCCTCGATCTTCCCGAGAAAAATCATCATCCCTTATGGACATAACTGAACTTAAAGCTTAAAAAAAATTGTAAGTATTTAAAATCTCGAAGAATGAGCTTAAAAAATTATTCAAAGTTAACATATAAAAGCAACGAGGCAGTCGTGGATTCAAAAATAACCAAATGGTCCCGCAACGAAAGACCTGGCATCAACATATATCCTCAGTAAAACACGTAAGCAAAGGACATATCTTTTAACTTCATCTGAACCCTCTCGTTCCTTTTAAAGACAGTAATTTACATTAATTATTACTTGGCTTATAGGTTTAACAACAAAATGACCTCTGGGGAGCAGCCAACGCATACATTCATCTACGTTCCACCTGACACTGATTTTCCAAATGAAGCTCAACTAAAAGATAAGTTCGAGAAAGGTAATACTACCTGAGTATACTCGAAAACTAGTTTCGCTTAAGGTTCCATCAAGGAAAAGAATGAAGCTTTGGAGAAACTTATTCTGATGATGCAGAATGGAGAGAAGATCGCCCAAGACATGCTTATGTATGTCATTCGATTCTGCTTACCATCCAATGATCACAAACTCAAGAAGAATCTTCTCATTTTCTGGGAAATTATTCCAAAGGTATCATTATCCAAGGTTCGGGTTCACACCAATCTTTTAGACTAACCCCCAAGGAAAGCTTCTTGACAAAATGATTTTGGTGTGCGACGCATATCGTAAGGATTTACAACATCCAAACGAGTTTGTACGTGGATCGACTTTGAGGTTTCTTTTCACTTGATGTTTGTTGTAAACAGAGGTTTATTACAGATTCCTTTGCAAACTCAAAGAGCCTGAGTTGTTGGAACCCTTGATGCCTACTATCATCGCTTGCCTTGAACATCGTCATTCATATGTTCGTAGAAACGCTGTTTGCGCAATCTTTACCATCTACCGTATGAAGCCATGAGCAAAGCTCAATTTAATTTCTATCATTTGCAGGCAGTTTTGAGTTCCTTATCCCTGATGCTCCCGAATTAGTTTCTACTTTCCTCGCCACGGAACAAGACGCGGCTTGTAAGCGCAATGCCTTCATGATGCTTCTCCACGTCGACCAGTCTAGAGCATTGTCATATCTTTCCGGTATGGTTGTTCAAGTGTTCTCACAGTATCGTTATCTTCAGATTGTATTGAAAAAGTTACTCAATTCGGAGATATCATGCAACTCGTTATCGTTGAACTCATTTATAAGGTTTGTGAAAAGCAAGTTCATATCGTATGTTCAAATACTAGGTGTGTCATGCTAATCCATCTGAACGAGCAAGATTCATTCGCTGTGTTTATAACTTGTTGCAATCCACGTCGGCTGCTGTTCGGTATGTTCTACGGTCCGGTAGATATGTAATAGTTTCAATCCTTCATAGGTATGAAGCTGCTGGAACTTTGATCACTCTTTCTTCTGCCCCTGCTGCTGTCAAGGCTGCTGCTTCTGCTTACATTGATCTCATTGTTAAGGAGAGCGATAATAACGTTAAGGTAAGAACCATGTTGTTTCTCTTCTCAATATTTGTTACAGTTGATTGTCCTCGATCGGTTAACCGAGTTGAAGCAAAATATCTCCAATGAAAAGGTTTTACAAGAGTTGGTCATGGACATCTTGAGAGTGAGTCAAGAAATATTTGGTTTCGAACAACAAGAGTTCAGGTTCTCTCTTCTCCTGGATTGGAAGTCAGACAGAAGACGCTCAACCTTGCACTTGATCTAGTCTCAAGCAGAAATGTCGAAGATATGGTTATGTTCCTCAAGAAAGAGATTGCCAAATCAGCATCTGAGTCTCCCGAAGAAGGAGGAAAGTATCGTCAAGCTCTTGTTAAAACTCTGCATTCTGCCACCATCAAGTTCCCAGATGTTGCTCATAACATCATCCCAGGTAATATCATTGCAATTTTTTTCTTATTAAATATTATGCCTTGCAGTTTTGATGGAGTTCCTGTCAGATGATAATGAAACTGCTTCTACCTATGTTCTGATGTTCGTCCGTGAAGCTATTTACAAGCTCAGACCTCTCAAAGAATCCATCCTTACCTCTCTCCAGGTACGCACATTAAATTCATACAAATTTTCAACTATTTTTGTAGGGCATGCTGTTATCCATCAGAAAACCAAAAATATTCATGTCAGCTTTGTGGATTCTCGGTACATTCTGCGATACTGATGCCAGTGTTCTTGCTGTTATGAGATTGGTTAAGCAAGCTTTGGGTGAACTACCAATTGTTGAAAGTGAGCTTAGACAGCTTGAAGGAGAAGGAGAAGAGCAACCAGCTGCTAAGCCTGTATAAATTTATTCTCTCTTTTTGGTTTCTGAGTTTATCTTTTCAGTCTGTTCCTAGCAAACAATTGGTGACTGCCGATGGTACATATGCCACACAATCAGCTATATCCTCCACGAAGAAGGTCGAATCGAACAAACCACCCCTTAGGTTTGCTTGTTTATACCAAAGTTGGAGTTTATAAGGCATTTATTTCAGGAAGTTCTTGTTAGATGGCGATTTCTTCTTAGGAGCCCAACTTGCTACCGTTCTCACTAAATTGGCTGAGCGATTCTCCTCGATCAAAGGTCAAAGCAAAGAGAGAATTCATAGGCAAGACATCTTCAACTGAGGAGTCTGAAATAATTCTGCTCATTATAGATTCCGAGGAGAATGCATGTTCATTCTCGCCAGTATCATTAATTTGGGAAAGAGTGGCTTGGCTAAGTCAAGCATCACCGAAGATGATCTTGATCGCATGGGCTTAACTATCAAACTCTTGGCACAAGGCTGCTCAGGAGTTGAAGATGCTTATTTGGATAAGTGCAATGAAAGCTTGGAACTTATGCTTGCTAACAAGAATAAGTGTGCCAAGGAAGAAAGTGAGAAGAGAAAGGACAAACGGGTTGTCGAGGTATGTGTCGTACAAAGTAATATTTTTTCAACAGTGTTATATAGGTTGATAAGACTATCAACTTCACACAACTTAGTGCTCGCGCCGATGCAAGTGCTGGAGAGAATCTTTTCGATCTCTCTCTGTCTCAAGCTTTAGGAACAGCACCAAAGTCACAGAAGTTTGATTTCTCCAGGTAATATTTATTAAGTAAAGATATCAATCTTACATAATTATGAGTGAATGAGAGTTTGGCATGTAACAATTGGAAGGTTTTTAACGTTTTTTACTTTTCATCTTTTGTGTCTTTTTACACGTTGCTTTTTTGGGGTTTCCGTGAGTTAATTCACCGAGAACATATTCGAAAGCTACTGCTAACTCAGCTTTCGTGTAAATTTTCTCTTCTTCTCCACATATGACTTCTGCTACACCGTCAACAAAGTCATCCATCATTTCTTCCATGTATAAAGTATAGGGAGGGATAGCAACGTTTGCTGTGAAATACTAATTCTAAATAGCTAATATAACTGAACTACCTGGAGGGTCGTCATCAACAGCGGCTACTGCTCGTGCTGCAGTTTTCTCTTTCTTATCTACCATGCTGGGAATAAATATAGTAATGCCAAAATAAAATCTGAAAATATTAAAATTGTGGAAGGAAATCTGAATATTTTGAATAAATGCAACGGTTCTATGCGATATTGCATTTGGTGTCTATTGGTTACGCTATCGCGTGGCGCCGCGGCGCGCGCGCGTTGGCGCTCATTGTTTTCTCTGTAAGACTAGCAGCGCTAGGGTGGTGTGGGAGGAGTTTTGCATAGATATTAAAATTAAAATGGAATTTTCAGCTCTAAGCTTGGAAAGGTTATTCAATTGGCTGGATTCTCTGATCCAATCTATGCTGAAGCATACGTGAATGTCAATCAATATGACATAGTTTTGGATGTCTTGATCGTCAACCAAACCGCTGATACTCTGCAAAATGTATCGTTGGAACTCTCAACAGGTATGATTCTATCTATCGAATCCGCTCACATAAGTTTCAAATTTTAGTTGGTGACCTCAAGTTGGTTGATAAGCCTACTCCCATTACCTTGGCTCCCGCAGATTTTGCTAACATCAAGGTAATTTAATAAAAATTTAAAAAAAAAGTATTTCTTTCCTTTAGGCTACCGTAAAAGTAGCATCCACCGAAAATGGGGTTATTTTCTCCACCATCTCCTATGATGTTCGCGGATCTACGTCTGATCGCAACTGCGTTTATCTTCAAGATATCAAAATCGATATTATGGTGAGCGATGATAATTAGATAGGCTTACACCGGTATTATAGGACTACATTGTGCCTGGCAGCATCAATGATCAAGAGTTCCGACAAATGTGGTTCGATTTCGAATGGGAGAACAAAGTTACTGTGAATACTCCTCTTACTGATCTGAAAGAATTCATTCAACATTTATCTTCCGTAACTAACATGAGAGTATTAACAGGAGATGAGGCGATAGGTTGGTTATTCGTCAAGCGTTGCGATCTAAAGTTAACCCATTTCAGAAGGAGATTGTGGCTTCTTGGCTGCTAACATGTGTGCCCACTCTATCTTCGGAGAAGATGCTTTAGCAAACGTGTCTATTGAAAAAACTCTTCCTATGGACGATAGTTCTCCTATCATAGGCCATATTAGAATTCGTGCTAAGAGTCAAGGAATGGCTTTGACTCTTGGAGATAAGGTTTGTAAATAATTTCAAATATGTACCTATATTTGTTTCAGATCAATGCTGCCCAAAGAGAAAGGAAAAAGACCGCCCAGCAGGCTCCATTAGTTGCCGCCACCGCCTAAGAGGGAAAGTTATTGTTTTCAAATGCTAATATTTATTCTTCGCCTGTTTTATAAATTTAATTTTGTCCTTGTGATCGATGTGATATAGAATAATGTTTTGGAGGCAAAAGTATCTCTGAAACTTCGTGGTTACGTAATTTATAACATTTTTATATTATTTATTGTACTTTTCGAACACTGACGGTTCCTATAAAAAGGTTGGGTTGAGCGAAATATACTGTTATGTCTTACTTCTCAGTCTTGGAAAACTTTTTTGCTTATTTTATCTCAATAAACTGTTTTAAGGTGAAAGCTCGTTCAAAATGAAAAGTCAGTTACTTATGCGCCACGTGGCAGCTTCACGTGATGTTCACGTAATACGTGGAATTCTAATATTTCATCCAGAAGAGAACAAAGTTAGCCGGCTGCTGGTTTCAAGAAAACGATCTGAGAAGTAGAAGCTATATGATTGCTTGAGATATGGCTATACCTTATATTGCCTTGATCCCCGAAAAAAGGCAAAAGTTACGATTGCTGACTTCAGTTCTCCAAGTAATCTTAAGCGTGTGCTTCTTCGTTATATTCACACTAGAGTTCTTCACGCATTTGATCTCAATCAAGTAGGTTGACTATCCAATGTTTGATGATATCAGGAGTTTTCTAGATATGGTATTCGAGATCTTCTGGCAGGCCGACTGGTACATCTCAATAACAAATGTATCATCCTGATGATCTTTTCCGTGCCCCTGTTCATTCTTCACGTCTTTCAAATTCAGTTGCTTCTCAAACAAACGGAGAAAAGATTCCAATTATCGTTTAAACAATTAACAGTTAAGTTATATTACTTGTCAGTGAATAACTTTTTTTCATTTCAAGGAGTTCATGATGGTATCGGCGACAGCATTGGCTTGTGTTCTTTTGATGTTCATGTTCTCCCTGAGTTACACAGGCCGGTTCCGCAGAGTTCTAGCACAAGCTTTGCAAGAAGTGAGTTTACTTGTCTTCTGATCACTTGTACATGAAAAACTCCAGCGTTTATTATTAACAAATACCACTACAAGAGATAGAATTCAAAATGATTTTTTCTGCTGTGGTGTTAACAGTTTCAGAGATTATCTGCCTGAGAGTGGAATAGACAGAGAATCCCTACAGTAAGTATTACTAACAGTTTCAAACATTTTCTCTCAAAGATTTCCGATAGACCCCGATGTGTCCCCTTACTATTGCCATACTCAGTATACGCATTTCAAACACATGTGTGTGGCTCCGCCAAGTTGTTGTTTGCAAGCTCAATGTTCCACCTTAATCCCATACTATATAGGATTTGTAGAAACTGCTTCACAATGGTATAAGAGAACAGGTGCGTGCCTTACTTTTCAATTTACATGTTTGTTCTATTTCTAGGATGTCTCGATTCTATCACCCAGAGCTTTAACTATCAACTGTCATCCACGCCAATGACAATCTTTCTGTTTGTAGTGCTTCTCTGTGAAATAGCTTCTGTGATTTCGCTACAATTCACGCTGAGTAGCTTCACTTTGTTAAAAGAATCCGACAACGACTTAACATCTGGATCATTCGGCTGGTTGTTGCCTATAGGATATCCAAGTCCTATGGAGTTAATCGCAGTATGAATGTGAGCACAGTGTGAAGAGAAATTGAAATTTTCAGGAAATGCAAGCACCATGCCAAAAACAAAATCAGATCGAATTGAACGAAGGACTTGCGGATGCTACTGTCAACCAAACTGTTGGAGATAAAGAAGAAACGAAGAAGTCCATGATGACAGAACTGATGAAGTCTCTGAAATCAAAAGTGTCTCAAGTTAGTTGAGGTGTATTCACCACTCTCAGCACGTATCTCTGCTTCATTCTCATATTAGCATTAAATCTCTCCAAGGGTTTGATATATTAGAAAGAGGAAAAACAATTTGGGGGGAGTAGACTAGCTTTTAGACCAAAGTCCAGGTCATTTGAAGAATTAAACGGCCATGTAACATTCATACGTTTGACTGAACGTTCTTCTATCTTAGCCGTTAATCGTTGGGAAAGATAGACTACAGCAATGAAAGTTATTAGTTTGGCACTCTCTTTGCGTCATACAACCGACTGATAGCGTTCTGCGGCTTTTATGTTTGGAAAACATGTAATCCAGTTGTATATTATCGATTTGAGATTTGTTTCAATATTTCAGAATGAAACAACGACTTACGTTTATCTGCTTTTTATAAAAATGTCTTATCGGCGAAACTGCGTAGGCTGTAGGCACACCCTACCCAACACGGGTGTTGTTCGCCTTTAATGACCATTTCAATTAATTTTTCATTATCCTTCAGAGACTTGTTTTATTCATAAATATTTCCATGTTTATTTGTGAAAAAATTGTAGCGTATTGATTGGTGTGTGTGGCTTGTTTGTCTCACTGGCATTGCGGTAAAGAAAGAGAGCGTCAGTTGGACAGCTGAAAAACTTAAAAACTATTCTTAAAATATAATTTTTCTTTCTCATTAGCTTCAAGTCTTTGAAAAGTTCCATGAATTATTGGTTTTTGGCTTATTTTAGTTGGGTTTTGACTCTCTCCGTCCATGTTGTCTTGCTATTGATAAAACGAGTTTCGCACGCCATTCAATACACACATAGGAGGAGATGCATTGACCGATCTTCCGAGGTCATTTTACGACTATCTATTGGCCTATATCGTACTTAGTAAAAGAACTATTTTCTTTATAATTACTGTTTTTTGACTTTTTTTGCGGTTTACACATAATGTTTGTAAACCTCACTGTGCACTAAGCGTGTCAGCTTGTCTCAATCGAAATCACTTCAACTGTTGCGCCAACATAAGACTGAATCATTTCGTTTTCTCTCTACTTCTTCTATTCAAATACATATTCTTTAGTAAACACGTTGAGTTGATATGTAATTGTATTGCTTGTATTCAATCAATTCAATGTTTTTCTTCCGGTCACCTTACAATGCACGCTGATCATGGCTTTCCTATGACGAATTTATTTACAGGACTTGACGTTGAGGTTAAACCTCGAAAGATGGATGGAGAAAGCACTATACGTCTATCCCGGGTCATTTGTGATTTTATTGTTCTTGTAGTATGTGGTAAGCATTGTTGTTCAATCCTCTCACCTAATATTTCACGCTTCAGCTATTCCCCTACTCATCTTTCATGAGTTTGTCACTCCGTACAAACGAGGATTTTATTGTGACGATGAGAGCATCCGTTATCCATACCGAGATTCCACTGTTTCTCGACAATTGCTTGTTGTTGTGGGACTGCTGATCCCGACGTTCTTGGTATGTTCGATCACTAACCGTTTTTTAGAAACAAGATTCTTTTTCAGATAATAGGTACGGAGCTCTTCCGTATGTTCGTATGGGAGAAGAAATGTGAATCACAGTTTAAGACCTACCAGCTAAGACATTATTCCATCAATCGTCTCATCGTGAGACTCTATTGCTTCATAGGTGAGTTCGCTTCTATTTGAAACACAACCGCTCTCTCCGCTGACAAGACAAAAAATAAACTGCGTATTACGAGCTGGAAACTTTTTTTTTTAGGCTACTTCTTCCTTGGTGTTTGTTTCAATCAGGTTATGGTTGACATTGGAAAATATACCATTGGACGTCATCGCCCACACTTCATGGATGTTTGCAAACCTGACAAAGGATACAAAACCGTTAGTCAACATGTATCACTTTTATATCAATGTATTTCTAGTGCACTACTCCGGATGTATACATAACTGATTATACTTGTACTAGTGACAACAGCAAATTGGTTCACGAAGCCCAACTTTCATTTTATTCCGGACACTCGGCATTCAGCTTTTATGCTGCCTGGTTCACATCTGTTTGTTCATCCTTTTATTGTTTTTTTCTCAAACGCAGTTTGTAGCTCTATCTTCAAGCAAGACTGTATCGTCCTTTGTATTCTCGACTGTTACTTCCTGTCATTCAGTTTGCATTGTTCGGAGGAGCTTCTTATGTAGCCCTTACTAGAGTACGTTTGAATCTCAAGCATGTCTACTAACATTGCTCTTTAGATATCCGATTACAAACACCATTGGTCAGATGTGCTTGTTGGAGCTTTCATGGGCAGCGTAATTGGAGTCTTTAATGTAAGAAAAATACTTTTTATTTTTTAATTCTCTCATTTCAGGCTGTATTCGTTGCTGAAGTATTCAAACGAAGGGAAATTCCTGCTTGTGGACCAGTAGCCACCAATGAATTCGGACTCATCCGGTTCTTTTGTCGTACTCTCTTTTCATAATTATATTATCTGTTATACAGAATGGAGAAACGACCCGTTGCTCCGGAAGTGGTCACTCATTCCGTTGTTGTGACGAACGAGGTTGATGGAGAGAAACACCCCGACAATCAGCGACTGTGAGTTGTTTTCGTTATACTTTTAATGGTATCTTATTTGCTTTTTGTTTTTAACTTGCCAATTATGTTTGACTCACCTGAAGCATCGTCTTTTCTATGAAAATTGTGGTCTTATGTGGGTTTGGTGTTCTGTTACCCTACATGTTTCCTAATACTCCTCTCGAAACTTCATACAACTAATTCGTGTAGATGTTTTCGGGTCTTTTTGTTTCTCTTCTAGTCTCGTCCTCTGATCAATATCAGGCGTCAACATGAAGATGCGTTCATGCATACGTACTAGTCGCGATCAATCATTACTCAGGCTTAACTTGAAGTTGAAGACCTGAATAGTGTTACTATATATGTGATTGTTTCATTGTCTTGTGTGTATATGTTTCACGAAGACAGCACTCACTCTTAACCTCTCACACAGCACTCGTTTTGCCATTAAGTTTTTTCCTTATTCAGAATGCAGAAAGGATCTGCTAGTTCAGAATATAAAACAGAAATTCATATGGACCCTGTGCTTGTTGTTCGAATGCCGTAACCGAATCGTTTTCCTCTCAAAACTTGTAGTTTGTTCTTTTCCCTTGCAGTTATATTCTCAAAGTCGCATTGGAGTTAGCGGTGTGCTTTAATCAACTAAGATTTTGTCATTTAATAAGTCTAAGTCAAATGCTCAAATCTAATCGGAAACTCAGTTGTTGTACTTTCTCATTCCACTTGTGCAGCATTTCCAACTCTGTTAAAGTGTTAACACTCTTCAGTAAGCTTAGCTATGTTCGCCTCGTGATGTAGCTTATTTGTCGTTGAGAGTTTTAGCATGCTTCATCCGAGACAGTTCCCATTTCAGTCTCAATCTTCATTACTCACCTGGCCGATGAGAAGATGGGCTGATTACTTGTTCGGATCATAGTAGAATGTAATAAAAGCTGTTCCAAAACAGAAATATAGTATCTGGCATGCCTACTAGAATAATTCGTTCTTCCTGCTTATCGTCTTTTTCGAGAAATCGTTTCAACTACTGAGCTGAACTTCTTGTGAATGAAGTAATTCATTGCTTCACCCAATTGTTTCAGTTCGAAGATCTCTTTGTTGTCGTTTTTTTACAGCCAAAGATTAATGTACGTCTAACTTTGTACTTGCATCATTGCATTTCGAATAAAGCTTCACTATTCTTTCGTGTTCCCAATCATCTAGCGCTCTCAGTTTGGCTTTCCGCTGATATTACTTAGGTCTTCTATGTTCTGTGCTTCATCTCGTACGTCTACATGAAACTGCTATGCTCTTAATTACACTCCACAACCTAATTATCTAGATTCATACAATTCAGAATAACTACTATCAGTGTTTGTGATTTCATTTCGTCTTTTCACATACCCAAATCTTTTGTTTCATTTGGTTACTCATTCCTCAAGATTTCCCTAATTGTTGAACACCAAACTGTATCACAAGAATTCTGTTTAAAACATCGTAAATGCCACTTGAGTACTGGATGTTACAGTAGCACGTATTCTACCGGATCATTTTATTCTGCTTGTGCCGATTGGGAAGTCACATCTTGTGGGGGTCAGAGCGCTATCACTGCTTATTACAGTGTTCGATCCGAGCCCAGTAGCGGTCCTGTTAGACCTGGTTATCGCGCCAACTAATGTTATTTGTGATTTATCTTTTTCATCTCGAGTTGTCAAACATGCTCCTTCGGTTATTTGTTTGCTGTAAGCTTTCATACTATCTAATAATCATCATCTAGTCAAAGTAACATTAGGAAATCATTCAATTCATCTTCTTGTTTTGAAGACGTCGCTAGGCGCCAGTTAAAGGTATTCTCGAATCTCTGAAAATACTGAAATTAGGTTGAAACTGCCAAATTGCTTCTGTTTATGTTACCTTTTCTTTTCAAATCTGCCTGTTGCTTCTCATCTTCCTCCAAGCCGGTATTATCTTGTTTTGTATCGATTTTCTATGCTCAACAAAATGCATTTTAGGCCTTAATAAACATTAGAAGCTTTGCATTCTCTTACAGCGAGCCTTGTGCGCGTTGCGTTGCGTATCTCAAAGATTGCAATTTCTCAAAAAACGCTTTTCTGAAAATAAATTTTTTTTTCACTTACCCATCATGTATCAGACATACTTGACAGATGCGGGTGACTCGATTGCTTACGTTTCAGGACATGCGGCGTTCTTTGTGAATATATTGATAAATGTGTACAAAAATCTTGTTTCAGAGTTGGTTCGGCAAAGACCCAAATTAAAGAAATGAGCCCAAGTTCATAGTTCACTCATCTCCCTAAGGTTAATCAGACGCAAAAAATTTGTTTCAATCGCTTGCTTATATTTCGAAGTCGTTCTCAACGAACTCTTGTTTGTAAAAATTAATGAATCTGCCATAATTTTCCGCTTGTTTCAGTGTAATTGAAAGCTTTGTTCTTGTTGCTTCAGAAATAAACTTTTCTATTGAAATTGAAGAAAATCTCTTTTTGATCTAGAATATTGAGTTTCAAGTCTCAAATCGAAGCTACCGCAAAGCAACCTTTCTGGACGATTTTAAGATGGAATGCAATCGTTCTGGACGGTTTCGAGAGGGAATGCAACCGTTCTGGACGGTTTCGAGAGGGAATGCAACCGTTCTGGACGGTTAGGAATAGAATGCAAGCTTTCGGTGCTCTTCGGATAAGACCCGGATGGGTCCAGGCCCTATCCCTGGCGTGAGAGCCAATGAGCTTTTTTTCCCTCTCTGGAGGAGCTCCAGAGAGGGAGGAGTGGAGCTCACCGGCTCAC